TTTAAAAATGCGACTTGCCCCCGCTTCTGCTGTCCCCCCACCTTCTCGCAGCTGTTCTCCACGTCCTCCCTCAGTAGCCTTCATAGGCCTACTAGTCTCGCCGCCATCTCGGCTTGCGTCTGCTCCACAGCGCTCACTGCGCATTTCCTTGCTACTCCCAGAAACCTGCACCTCGCCTAAGTGCCGTGAGTGAAGCGCGACGGAGCTCGGGAGAAGTACGGGGGGACCGCTTGTGGCAAGGAACAGACGTCTACGAAATACGCTCGGAGGGTGCGAGGGGTAGGAGGGACTTGGGGAGCGTCTAAGGGCTAGGGATGACTTAGACGTCAGGAGAGGTCACGACCTGCGACATCTAGGATCAGCGGACGTGGGTGAAAGAGGACGTACGGAGGAACCAAGAGATACGTAGCTGCGTGATGTACGGGACGGTCGTCTTGGTTAATAGAGTAGTGGTGCGAAGTCGGGGTACAGATTCCTTCGCGATGAGCGTCGAACTACGACATGCATAGCCTGATCAGACACGTTTGGCCCAACCCTCCTCATATCTCCTTCAGATACGCCTGCTGCAAATCCTCTTCGCTCGCTTGGTGGCCTCCCATCGGCGTTTTGTTGAGACCTCGCCTTCAATTCGCTGCTCCTATATCCCGTGCCTCCCGAACTAGTACACACAAACTCTCCCGAATTGGCAGGTTCTGTTCCTGTGAATGCAGTGTTGCGCATTGAGGAGCCAACACTGCTGCGCAACTGAGTCTGCTCCTCTGGATGTGTCACACGACGGACTTTGTCGTTCCCTTTAAAAATGCGACTTGCCCCCGCTTCTGCTGTCCCCCCACCTTCTCGCAGCTGTTCTCCGCGTCCTCCCTCAGTAGCCTTCATAGACCTACTAGTCTCGCCGCCATCTCGGCTTGCGTCTGCTCCACAGCGCCCACTGCGCATTTCCTTGCTACTCCCAGAAACCTGCACCTCGCCTAAGTGCCCACTCACTTCGCGCTGCCTCGAGCCCTCTTCATGCCCCCCTGGCGAACACCGTTCCTTGTCTGCAGATGCTTTATGCGAGCCTCCCACGCTCCCCATCCTCCCTGAACCCCTCGCAGATTCCCGATCCCTACTGAACTCATACTGCCTGGTTGGATCCGTTTCCAGCGAGGGCACAATCGCTGAATCTGAATTCTCGCCGTTATGATGGATTGGGCATGACGATTTGGTCTTATCTATCCTAGTGAAGCTCCTCTGGTAAGCCAATGTCTGTTCAGGGCATCTAGTGCGTTTCACTGGAGAATGGAAACCAGAAAGACGCGCTTGCCACAATTCATCTTTGTGATAATGCTCCGGGTTGGTGACAGCTGCACAATCATGCAGGATTAGCTTTCTACCATCTTTGCTGTTGCCGCTTGAAAAGCAGTCGACTGCTTGAATACCTTGGCGCCCTGTAGAGGAGCCATCGAATGTTGGGAATTTTGCAATATTTGAGACTAGTTGCTGTTCTCCCACTTGGCCGGTCACAAATTGAGCAAACCCGCGTGTCTCGTGATTCTCGGTACTGTAGGGAGGGCTTGCATATGGCTGAAGATCGACGACATTCCCGTTGGTGTGCATGCGTTGCGTTTTGGCCGCACCCGTCCGAACATGTCCCTGCGCGATACTGCGGCGCACAACGGCTTCCTTATCTGAAAGTAGGAATCTTGACCCTTGTCTCCCACCGCCCACTGCGGAACAGCATTTCCCCGCCTGTACTTGATTGGCTGCATCCAGCGCTGTGGGTAATCGCGTTGCTGGAAGCCGCTTGACGGCATCTGCACACAAACCTGGTGCCACCTTCTTTGTCACCAGGTGCTTGACTGCGTATGGGTGCGTGGTGGCAAGACATTCGTATTCCTCCACACTGAGGGGCCTGGTGCCGGGGAGATTCCCTCTTGCTGGCTGCTCAAGATACTGCGTTGCTCGCTGTGCCATTCCGGCAACTGGGCTAGTCCTTGATTTTGCACTCGTGGTACTGCAATCCTACTTTACCTAGCCATGAAATCACTGAATATGGAGGCAGGCAAATGGCCTGAAAACTAAAGTGGGAAAGCCCGAGGAGGAAAGGCCGCACGACCATTGGCGTAGGTGGTGACGTCACCAGCGGGTCACCGAATTGCATATGTTTTGAAGGTCAACATAGAGGATCCGCAAAATATAGAAGTAGTTTTTGAAGCTCTTTTACAAGGCGGTGTTGAGGTAGGAGCCGCGTAGGAATCCCTACCTGCGAAATAATAGAGAGGAGGCAGATGATGAGTTCCTGCTCTTCACGAGCCTCACTAACCTGCGGTACGCTTCGGTCCGTGTGGTCTTTGGTGCAATAAACACCTACTAGCTTCTTCCAGTTGAAATTAAGGGGTTAAAGTCCCTTCGTAGGGCATCTTGCGTCGGGTCATGACCTCAGGTGACCCTGTTTCTGCACGAAACCCTGGCATGGACTGCAACCGTTACACGCGGAACATTGAATACTGTTGAACAGGGGGGCTAGTAATTTTTTTCAATGCGCCCCGAGCCTTGCCTTGCGCCGGTGCAACTTCTCGGTTGATTCGCCCCTACGATTACGGGTGCATGAAGGACCGGCGTGGTTCCAGTGTGTTTCTTACCACAGGCGTTCCACTGTTGGGAACTATGTTATTTCAAGTCAAACTATTGTACTAGCAAATAGGTTGCTATCTGAGGCTGCTATCTGAGTGAATGCAGAAGCAATAGGCCCGTGGTGTGGTGGTCAGCCGCAAACATACTCTGCAGACCCCACGCAATATGCTTTCTCTTCGGCATAAGCATCAGTTTGCAGCAAAATTACATGCGCATATAGGCGAGCTTCCGTTCAAACCTGCTTGTTTGCTCATCCCAGCCTTTGAGGCAAGCCTTCCCTTTGCAGTTCAAGCTTGCTGTAGCATGGTCTGCCAGAATCTGGTATGTATATTTCTACTTGCCTGCATGTTCGCTACTGCGGCAAGCATGGTGTTTAGTAACTGCCTACAATGTATGTACATGCAATCAAATTGGGGCCCATTTACATTTGCTTGTATGATTGCCTTAGAGGAACTATCGGGACAAATTGCGTTGCAACGCATGACATACCACCTCTCCGCACCAGTTTCAGGCCCTTGTGCCGCTATGTCCCGGATGAGTAAGGACTACATGTAAGGTCAGCCGCTTTCTTAGAAATGTTGTCTGGAATCTTTCGTCTCCATTGAGACTAGTGCAATCAACAAGAGTTCTCGTCTACGGTCGAGTACGTTCATTACATTTATCACCACGAGGAGGTGGTCAAAGTGACATCATGCATTGCCATTGTCTTCTGAAGAAGATTATTCGCCCGTTGGTTTACAACTGTGGACCATCGGCGGTCACCAAGGTTTTCATCCAACTCTTCACAAGTTAGTATGGGAAGAATGTATCTCCTGCTCAGCTCTTGAATTAACGGCCCCGTCTTGTTGTTTTCTAGGTCTCTTCGCTGTACGACGATTGCTGCCACGTCCCTCCTGCAGCAAAAAACTAGAAACGCCTACAATTGTGAGTTGGACTAACTCGTCTTGGCCGCGGGAGCTCTGGAGATGCCCACCTCACGTCAATCATTCCGTGGATCTGGATTTCTGAGTACTTGCTGTCTGGTGACACCGTGGCTTTGGCCCTTCTTCCAGTAGCGATGGCCTGTCATACAACGAAGGAATTTAACAGGCTGGTTCTCCCTAAGGTTCTCGGTGGCAATTTGTGAGTCGGGAGGTAGTATTTGGCTTCACGAATTTACTCGTTTACGACCGCCTTACGTGAATCCTTGTTATTTCGTGAGTTGATAGAGTCTCAACAATGTGCCACATGTGATCCAGCGTCCCAACCCGACGGATTCTGGAGCCCAAGTTCTCTTTGCTGGTTGCCACAGTTGTTCGGGCGCTGCTTTTGAGATCATACCCACAAATTAATGAGGGCTGCAGCTGACTGATTCCTGACTGAAACTCGCGAGGAAGCGAAAGCCTCAGCCACGAGAGAAGAGCTCATATACACACTCGCGGGAGCAGGTTTTGTGTTTTTAGAAACCTAGGATATCGGGGGGGAGCTACTACACTAGGGAAAAGGAGCGGCTCACCGGAGTGAGTCCTTTAGAAGAAGATAAGCGCTTCCGAAGGCAGAAACTCGGGAATCCGAAAACGGGTGGCACACCATGTTCAAGACGCCATACCTGAGAATTCGGCAAGATTCACGGCAGCTGTGGCATAGGAAAGCTTCGTATTTCGGACAGCATCAGGGTCCATTATGAACGTACTTTGGCCTGTCCTTTGGCTGAACTGACGGGTGCTCGTATAGGTCGTTGAAGAGGACTGATTCAAACTCTCGTCGAGCTTTCAAATACGTGGATCCCTTCAAGTTAGTCTCAAAGCATGTTCTGAAAGCAGCAATCATTATTGCAACCACATGAGCGGGTGCAAGGAAGCGTCTACGCACCATAATGAATAGATAGGATCTCTATTCTCCTGCTTGCCGCAGACGGAGTACCACCAGTATGCGCAGGTCGTCTGCGGCATTGTACCTGTAAAAGGGATCTTTCATCAAGTATGGAAATAGCCCTTGGATGTCAATACGAATGGTTAGCGGCACCTTCTTGGCTAAGTATACCTCGATTTTTGTAAAGTCTTCCTCAGATATATCGAACCCTCGCCAAGTCTTCTCGAGTCGAGCTTTCGCAGCAGCGCTTTCAGTCTCACTGTTGAATGCTACATGCTCCATCACCTGCTGCTGAATAGGTGTCAGTGCCTCATACTCTAGTCGCCATGCCGGAAGCTCATCCCAGATACGCCGGGCCTGCGGGGTATCGTATGCCCTGGATGAGGCGAGCGCGAAACGGTCTCGAGTTGAACGCATTGACCTTGTAGTTTCCTGTTGTTCTGATTCTGCTGTAGAACGCACAGATGAACGGTCTTCCGTCGAAGCCAGGTTTATGGAGGCTTTCCCCGTCTTATGTAGGCCTGACTTATCAATCACTAGGGAACGCGTTCTGTCACCACCCCGTGAACTGCCAGCGATGCCTTCTAACAGGTCGGAATAAGATCCTTGCTCTGATCGCAAGCTGCCCATTCTCAACAGACCTCAAAATCCAGCTGAAAAGACTCACTTTCCAAAGGCTGCGAGTGCAGATATTCATAGGGAACCGCCCCACACTCTTCGGGAACCGTCAGGTTCTTACATATGGGATTTTCTCACCTGAAGCTTCGGGCCAGCGGTCCCGTGATCACGTTTTGAAAGATGGTGGCTCGAAATTTTATGCGTCTGCAAACACTGGAAACAACGGTCAGTGCTGAAGAAGGCAAAGGTAGTACCGCCTGTTGGGAATGCCTTCGACTGGAGGACAGAACGATGGCGACCTCCAAGAAAGGACGGCCGGTGCCTTAGGTAAATTTTCAGATGCAAAATAATCTATAGGTGGTACAGGATAGAAGGGCATGGCAGGAGCCGCATCTTGCTTTGTCCACTGTGGTACTTGCATCAGAATGGTGGGTGGTCCACGCTCAGCCGCTCAAGGGTAGCCACTGCAGGGCCAAATGGCAAGGATTCGTCACACTTTAACAAACCACTCATCCGAAACCAATGCAACATAAGCAGCTCCTGCGCAGTTTGCCGTGGTTCTACCGACGGACAGTACAACGCAAGTGACCTTGGTTGCGGTACTGCGTGAGGGGCTCTACCCTGATAAAGCGCCGTGGGCAAAAGGTGACTTCCTTGCTTATATGCCAATCAATAAATCCAGAAGAGCACAAACATTATATCTGAATGGTTTTCGTTGGTTTTTTGCTCCCAGAGTGCTGCGAATAGCCCTGAGCAGGGCCGGTGTTGTCTCGGTGGTAAACGGTCGCATAAATGCAAATCTTGCAGGTGCACGTCAACTCACCCCTTACAACTTCAAGCCGTATGTAGCTGTGTACTGGAGAGTTGGATCCCTGGCTTTGCAGACACAAGTTGCAAGCAGTGTGAAAAATGCTGAGTTCGACCCCCATACTCCGACACACCCCTGAGATGATGACGTAAACTCGCGTTGGTGAATGAGTACTAATGGGCTGCTCATGCATGTTTACTGCAGCTTGTGAACCACCCCTCTAATAAGAAGATTCGCAGGAGAGAAGAAAAGAGTACACCCCACTATCGAGGGATATGCGAATCAAGCTATGTATGTTCCAACGAGCTACTTCAACAAAAAGGAACAGGTAAAATGTCAACCATTTATTGTACATATTCTTTCTAAAACCGTACTCTATCGATGAAGAGGGGGCTGCACGCTAGCCAACTCTTGCCGGCACCACTAAGTGTAGCTGAGCCTTAGCTAATACCTGTGCACTATTTCCGTCTATTTGGGGAGCCTAGCTAATTGCTTGACCTCGCGGGAAGCCAGTGGAGGCGAGCAATTCTCTCCTCCAAAAGAAGAAAAATTGAACTCAGCTCATAGTTATTTCCGGCCTGCGCCTGATACTAAACCAACCCCAGTGCGCAGATGCTGATGAGTACCTACAAATTACCCTGCAGTGGCATATTCCAGGTACACCTACCCAGAAAGAAGTGATCTTACTATTCATGAGCAGCGCTACGGAGCAAATAGGCACACTCTGAACAAGACATGCATTTACGCTCCCCGCGTTTTGTGCTCTGTCTTAAGTTTTGCGTGCAAGTTCGTGCAAGTTTGTTACTGTGATGCAAGAAAGTGCTCAGCAACTGTCTACACTGTCAGAATATTCATCAACAGGGAACTCGGCTGTACTTGTATGCGAGGTTGCCGTATAGAATGAGCAACACACTGTAAGCTGCCCAAGGCAGTCGTTCTGCTGTTGCGCAGGACGCCTGGAGGCTTGGTGGGGAGATTGTCTCGTTTTCGGGAGCTCTCATCTCAGGTATTTTGACTCTATTGCCGTTCTACAATGTCTTCGGCCAGGATCGAGGACCCCTGTCGTACTAGGCCCTTGTGCAGCTGTGCACAGGATCCCGAGACTACGCGGGAGGTCAGCTGATCTGCGGGAACGCCTATCTGAAGTATTTCCGCCTTATCGTTGCTGTCCTCGGGTAATACCGAGCCCCCTCCTTAGAAGCAGAGTATCAAACCTTTCCTCTCATGCCCGTACAACACAGGGCATCACGATGGCAAGAACACTCGAAGAAGCCCTGAATACAACTTGGCAAGATCCTGGCCACCAATTCTTCCCTTGGCCTATCACTTGCAACTCTCAAAGGCTTTGAACAACGTACAGAAGGCAGAAACATATCGAATGGACAGAGCTGCGAAATGTAAGCATTGAATAGCTGCTCCCGTTCCAGGGGCAAGCGGGTCTCCAGAATGCCGCTTAAGATCAATTATATTAATAGTCATATCCATGTTCCTGTATTGGCGAAATATTCTCGGTCTGTAGCGGTTGAGCAGCACGTACGCAGGCAGCCCACACAAGCGACGAGGAGAGTTTGAAGAGTGGCCTCTATATCCATCAGCAGCGTCTATGCAGAAGCTTTAAATCTGCTACTCCGCACACACAGATTTTTTGAGCAATATACAAATTGTGTCGTCAAGTGGTTCTCGCCTGTGGCGTAGTTTTTGCAACACCGCCGAAGGAGGCGCCAAGTTGTCCGCCCACGAGCTGCACCCTGTTCAGATCACAAGGGGTGTCTGCCTGCTGCAACAACGCCTTGGAAATGCTGGAGTTTCGCATATTTTGCAAGAGCCAATGTAGACAAGGTTTTACAGTTCCCGACGTATTACCCGAATGAAGGCAGCTCCAGTCGGCTGCCGGGGCAAGATGGAGGGGTTTACAGGGGATGAAGGGGAAGGAGCAGCAAGCAACACAAGATGCCTCTAAGAGGGGTTTTGATATGTGCATGTGATTTTTATTTTCAACATATAGGAAAATCCAGTTGCATTGTTTCGGTGGATCTCGGGTCTGTAGGCGGTTGGCGGCAAGTGGCTTCTACACATCGCGCTCCAACAGGGAGTGCCAACTTTTTAATGGTTTCTTCGTACTCGCTGTGTAGACGAAGCATAGACTCAAATAATCTCAGTTCATATAGGTGGCCTATGCTTAGACCAATAACAAGCAGACGGGGGCAGCAATCAGAATTACAGCAGTAGGCCAGAAGACCCGTGTTCGGCTCTCACCAAATGAAAAGGAAAGCCCAACAGTTGGGGCATCCTGCACTATGGAAGTACCCTGGTGTTTAGCAAAACTGCAGTGACGTCAATCCCTGGCGTATGTGGAGAGTAATGTGCATTGCGCAGCAGCACTAGGAGAGCGGGTGTGGTTGGGATGAGTGACAGCTTGACTAGGCAGCTAGAAGCAGCGGACGGTATAATGAAAAATGCATTTTGCATAGAGGAAGAGGCAGTTCGTGGCGTTGAAGACGCCACGAACTGGAACAGCGATCTTGCAGAGAGAACAGTGTGAGATTGGCAAAGCGTAAAGTTGTTGCAGTCGCCAGAGATGGGTGTTCGAACAACCGTTCTCATGCTGATGCGCATGTGGTTCCAGCATAACGTATAGGTGTTGTGTATCATCATTTGGGAGATTGAAGCAGTAAATGAGCGCTGATTTGTCTTCAATTTTTATGCTTGGCAGCTCACAAAAATATCGGCATTCGTGCCGTGGTGATGAAGCGGCATGATTATGCAGTGTATGCTGGCTACGAGTGTACGGGTACAGCAGAAGGCACAACCTTTTCTGCGACCGAAGTTTTATAGTATTACTTTTCCTGAAGTATGCAGCGAATAAGAATGGGGAATACGCTAGTGCCCATCATAGCCTGTGTTTGGACTTTGCAAACGGCAGGCGAGCGCAGCGATGTAAGCAAACGAATGACTGCGGTAGAAAATCTTTGGAAATGAAGTTTCCCATAGCGTCGCGCGCTTACAACATTTTCAAGCGATGATCTAGACGTTATGGGAGATCAGTCTGGTAAAAATACTGCGGCTCTCTTTTCTGTACTGTGCCTCTCACTGCTGCGTAGCGTCGATCGTCAACGTCAGCATAGATGCGATGACTGACGGCGAGGCGAGTGCCCCCTCTCAGAGCAACATCGCTGGCGCGGTAAGAGCCTTCTTCGTTGGCATCAGCAAAAGCAGAACAGGCCTCTGGCATAGCTCATTGAAGGCTTAAGGAACACCCCGAAACCAGCATACCAGCGTAAGGCGAATCTGAACTGCAGAGAACATCCTGAATCGACGTCATGTGCCAAGGAGGAGAGCAACTCAGGAGAGATTTGCCGCCACTGTGTGAAAGGGACTTCACCCAACTGTGAGGATTAGCCTTTTGCAGCGTTCAGATTCAGGGTACAATTTTGGTGCGACGTGCCATCAGGTGCCCAATGGTGCGCCCCACAAACTATGGTACCCATTGGGGTGGGTATATCTTTCCAATTTCGTACAGAACTTTCTCCTTGTGAGACGCTCAAGAGGTAAACATCTTGAGGAAACTGCTTCTCGTTTCAACTACACATCCAACGAAAGGCGACGGGACGCCGGCGTGCATCCCAACGGACGATTATGAAGGCAAGGGTAGCATCCACATGGCCCACTCCCGTAATTCTTGCTCACCAAGATGCTTCAGGGCCATGCACAAGTGACCTTTTCATCCCTTCTTATGTGTAAGCTGATACTTACGCGTAGCTCTTGTTCCGCGTCAATACGCAGTATCTTTGCCATTCCTCCGTAGTGTGGGACAGTTGGCGCGGGCGTCATGGGCGAGAAGGTGTCAGGCTGACTGGCCTTGCAAATTGTGTCGGAGGGATTTCGGCTTCCAGTGTCCACAGGAGTGGAACCCTGTGAAAAGTCAGTGATATCCTCGACGACTACGCGCTACAGAATAAGTGAATTGTTTTCAGATTCATTGCACAAGTGTATCAGTACAAGAGGTGCGGCTGACGATACAGCTGATCGTGCGCCTCCGAAAACTCCCCATACAGACTACCACGGCCCTTGCGCTGGGATGGTCGACTTTAGAGATATGACTACTCTACAGAAGAAGCAGTGGAGTTCTTCGTGCTTGGCTTGGTGTAAGACAAAATGTAACTTCAGCAACAGAAACAGTACCGTCGCTCCTAAAACCTTCCCAGGGCCCTGCGTCGAGACACGACCTGTGGAGCTCGGTCCTGACGCAGACATGCCTTTAACCCGCGAAGCCGTACGGTGCAATTTATCCTAGCTTGTATAGGGGAGAACATCACTATTCATTTCCTGAAGACAGTGTGGCGTATCTTGCAGGTCGGAGCTCATTTCCTATATACCTGCAGTGCTTTAACCATTGTCCCTTCCACCATTTAGGGCTATCAGTAACCTCTAGACCCAAGTTGTTGCTTTAACGAGATCCCCAGCAACAAAAAAAGTAAATTTAACGTCTTCGCTGTCGGCCGGCACAACTGGCGCAGCCTCCAAATCGCCCGCATGCACCCAAGCCCACCCAATCCGGCATTCTACCCATCCCTTACGGATCCTCACTTGCCTCATAACCTTGTGACGCCTACAGAGCGCTCCGAGCACAGTGTGGTCGTGACAACCGTGTCTCGCTTCGCAAAAGCAAACACAGGAACAGGCCAATGGCCTCCACACTATGAAATGATTGCTGCTCACTGCGGCGTTTCCTTCGAAGGCCTTCGTGTCGAATGCACTTGACCACAGTAACACAATATCACATCCTGAAGCTATGGAGTCAGTCAGCACTGCGATGGCACTGCCACTGAAAGCCAGACAACCCAGGGAGGACCCTGCCTAGAACACGCTTAGGGTTCTAGCTGAGGCAGGCGTCCAAGTGGATCTCTGCCCGATGCGTCTCGTCGCCACTGGTTGCCGCCATCCGCTCCCTGGTTGACCATTGAACGTCGTTGGCGCTCGCGCTCTCTCTCAGCGTGCAGCTGCAAAACATCCCGCACAAAAACAGCACTCCGCTGTTCCACAGGACCACAAACTACGGCTTGGAGCCCCAACCTTCTCACCAAGTGCACTGTAAAACATATACCAGCGCGGTGTTGCTTAGTATCGTGTTACAGATTCAACTGTCGTTTGCTTCCCAACCTAGCCGTCTAGTTCAGCTCACACGCCGAAAGTCAACACGGTTCATTTGCGCCCTCCTCATTTTGCTTTTCGCTGTTAACTGAAATGCGGCTCACGAATGTCCAGTCGAAGATGAAGTCATACTGGTATCCCTCGCGGAAGAAAAGATCCTTGAACAGCCGCCTTAAATAGGAATAATCTGGGCGATCCTCAAATCGCAAAGATCGGCAGTAGTTTAAGTATGTGATAAACTCAACTGCAAGCACGTGCAGAACAATCCACAGCACTCTCACATGCAGCGATGCAGCCGCTCGTGTCTGCAGTGATTCAGCAGCTGCCCACAAGCTAGGCAAGCAGCAGCAGTAAGGACGCATACATGGAAACTGTTTGCAGAGAACTTCGATGGGGGTTGACATTTTCTTCTCCATGATCTTATCATATTTATCTTTCTTTGTTGTGGCTTTAAGCCCCTGCCACGGAAGTGAACCTCTATTGAAGTACATTAAAACGTATCCTAATGCCTCAAGATCGTCCCGTCTGCTCTGTTCAATTCCCAAGTGAGTATTCACTGATGCGTATCTTGCGGTACCTGAAGTCGCACATCAAACAGAACGGGCACTCACGAAACAAAGGCTTGCACACCCTGCACAAGCGTGCTTCCTTGCACCAATCGAAACGCACCTGTAAGGTTCTTGCCCTCTCGATAGGGGATGTGGGACTGCGTCCTCGGATCTCTATATTTCTTGGCGAGGCCAAAGTCGATAGCGAAAACAATGGACATTTTCTTGCCCCTACCGATTAAGAAATTATCGGGTTTAATGTCACGATGAATGAAGTGCCTGCTGTGAACAAATTCAATACGATTCAGCTGAAGCACAAAGAGCAACCCACACGGAAATGATATGCTCACAAGCCGTCCTCCCGCGCAGCTTAACACTGCAAGTGCGCTTCATTCAGCCAAGCTCACCATTTGGTCGGCGAGCATCAGCACAGTTTTCAAAGAAAGCTTTCTGTTGCAAATGCTGAAGAGGTCCTCAAGAGAAGGGCCCAAAAGCTCGATGATCATTACATTGTAATCCCCCTCTATCCCATACCAATAAAGGGTTGGGATTCCTATTCCCCCCATTAAAATTTTATATAGCTTGCTTTCATAGATTAGTTGCGGGTGTCTCGAACGGACACTCTCCAATTTAATAGCAACTTCATCTCCCGTTGAGATGTTCGTGCCTGTAAACCCCACATTCAAGAACACGCAATATGTAATGTGCCATCCCACTCTTCAAATACAGTTCATGCATGAGTGGCAACCAGAATGCGAACCAGGAAAGCCTGACCGCACACCATCAACGCGATAATGTTCAACAATCACGCAGCCATACCCAGGTAGATGTCGCCGAACGAGCCGCTCCCAATCTTCCTCCCCAAGCGATATTTCCCCCCCACACGGACGTCCATCATTAACAGTACTTACAACCAGCGCCAGACGTGTCCAGACTCCCCTGTAATGGGGTGCTCGTCCCGTTGTTATGGAGCTCCTACTGTAAGCACATACAAAACCAGAACCTGGAACCCTATAGGAAACTGCTGCTGCCAATCAGCTCATCCGGCAAAAGCCTCCTTATGTCTTGCGCGTCAATATTTGCATCCCCTCCATTTGTGGATCAGACTACTCCTGCCCCCTGCATAGGCCACGATAGAGCTGGACCCAGTCAATGACAGTAGAGAAATAGAATTCAGTTGGACTGGAGTAAAACTTCGCAACTATCTTCTTCAGAGAACTCACTGGAAAGCTACAGCAGCCAGTGAAGCTGCCCAGAATGACGGTGGCTCCCTCCTGCCGATGCAAGGCGTGCACCCACCGCTGGCAGCCACAGAAGGTCCCTCCAATGCCCCTCTCAGACCCGACAACAAAACAGCCGTGAGCTCCTTCCAGATGAGAGGCCACCGGGCAGCCAATATCGTTCAACTGCCCGGCTGCCAAAAAAAATCGGGCGCCGGCGTCCGGCGACGCACAAACCAATGACCCCCCTACAAGGCGCTTCGCTCCACGCTGGGGACGTTCGACGAGAACAGCAGCCAAAAGCTGCCGCGGATGATCGATACTATTGACGCCCTCACCCAACTGGTGCACAGCGTCAGGCGGACGCGCGCCGTGGACGTGACGCGGGTTGAGCACGAAAAGACGCAGCAAAAACTCGCCGGGAAGCAAAGAGTTGAGCCCCCTTTAATACATGCAGCACTCGACAACCACAGAAGAACACGAACGAGTTTGTTCCTGCGGGTGCCGGCCAGTTGGGTCCCAACGTTTCTGCAGTCCCTAGGCTCCCGTGGGAGCGGCTCGAGTGAGTTGAGTTCCTCAACACTCTCTGCCGCTTCCAACGCGTATGGCTGCGACACCCAGCTGGATGCCGGACCATACATGCAAGGTGCCTTTGGGAGCAACCCCGCGGCAGCTCCTACAGCTGCTAAGCAACCGCAGCACTTGGTGGGCTCCCAAGGGATCGGCTCGGCTGCTGCTGCTGCTCCCTGTGCGGCACGAAAGACGCTAAATGGCACAACAATCAACTGCGAAGAAGCTGAAGCGATTAGGTAGCCGAGACATCCAGTGTGGTGGCTACTGCGACCATGGCGGCAGCAGCGGCGGCAGCAGCTGGCGCAGAAGCCAGCACTTTGCTCTGGCGGTAGTGATCCTCCAAAAGGGAGAAGCGTACGCTCGGATGCACATATTTTCCGGCCATGAAGTATGGTGAAGAGGAACAGAGGTTAATGGGTCGCTGAGGGCCGAGCAGCAGACGCACGCTGCAGCTGCCCCAGGAGCAGCATTTGCAGCACCGCCCTCGCCCGTTGCATACTGCAGACTCGCCTTTACCAGCCGCAACGAGGATTCCATCAGAGCAGTTGCCCAAAATAAGCAAATACTAGAAAATGTAGATACAGGTTACCCAAAACCTGTTTTGTTTTGACTAATTCGTTCGCAGGACTTAAGTGGCACACAGCCAGGCGTGTGTAGCAAGGGCTCTGCACTGTTGCATCATATTGGTTTTTGACCTATTGTTAAAATTTATGCATTGTACACTTGCCCATCAGCGTTGTTGATGCAGCCGGCACACTGGAATGCCGTGGGTGCAAGGGCGGGTTGCCACTACAACCTGCTGTTCGTCTCGTCCACTGCCTTCTCTGCTTAGCAGTAGTTGGGTAGTATATTCGTATGGGAGGGTCTTTCTCCTGCACATACAGCACTTCGATACATTTGGCTACTATATCGTAGCGACTAAAGCCAACGCGATCAAAACACGTAGAACCTGGTCTCCACCTACACCGAACATCACGGATGAACGGGGCCATGGACGGGAATGTCTTTTCGGTGTACGCTAGGGGGCGTGGTCTTTTTGTATGCATTATAAAGGAGCATTGTCCAACCCTGAGCTTACCTGTGATTCAGGAAGAAACAATCCGGCTCAGTCAGCTTAAATGGCTAGTGTACGGAGATCCCCTGGCATAGTAACGTCCGAAAATGCACTAGCACTCAAACATTTAGTACAGTGGTTTCCCTGTAGGCACCTGATTTCCAATTTCTAGGCATCCTGAGCTCACCGGCAGTGGGCCTGCGGATGGCGGGGAGAGCACGTCGATTATGCAAAATGCATATCCACGTTTGTGTGCATGCTGGACAGAGGAATCCAGTGGATATATGTGCACGCTGGGCTGCATCTCTGCAGCAACTGCAGCACTTACTGCACGAGTCATGTGAGGCGCCTCCTCATCTTTTCAGCCCCAGGACTCTCTGAGAGGGGCCTACTGCATGCACCACAGAGGCGGTTTGCGTATGTGTGTGTGGGGAGATGCTGCTTTGCCTTCGCTGCTGCAGCAGCAAGTACTCAAGCAAGGAGGGGCCTCTCCTATCCCCGCCAGCCCTATGAATACGAGGGTTTGGGCTTAGGAAGCCTAGTGGCTGGAGAAGAACCCACTTGCATGTATGGCAACAAACACTTTGTACATTGGTTCTATTGCAGCTCCCCAGCGTGCTAGGCTAAGGCGAAGGACTTTTATTACTGCCAGATCATCTCCTCAACTGCAGTATTTCCTCATGCAAGTCTTTTCTAAGAGACAACCCCCCATATAAGCATGAAGCCGCTCTTGAGAGATCCCCTCACATCCAGAGGAATTTTCAATCATGTGTTTGGCTTTGAAAAGCTAGTATACACACAAATATCTACCCACCTCTAGCAAACCGCATCCCTCCTTGCCAACCGGAGTGGCACTCAGAACTCAGGAACAACAAGAAAATACAAAATAAAGCAAAGGGGAGCTGGCAAAGACACTGCGGATATTTGCGGCATGTGGCTGAGCCAGGCCCACGCAGGGACGTCCCACAACGTCAGGAGTATACGTAAGCTGGGAGGTACGTTTTACTGCAGGCATCCCTCCCTAGCAATGGCTGCAAGGTGGGCTTGCGCCTACTCGCTTTCCCGTAGCCCACATGTTGAAGGTGCTACGACTGAAACTGGTGTCGGCTTGAGTAGAATAACAGCGCAGGCAGATCGTAGAGCATGGTCCCCTTTTTACCGCCACAAATCCGCTGTGCAAAAATATTATAGGCCGTGCGGAATTCATGGTTCCGCTTGCAGTCGCCACCGCTCAACAAAGGATTAAACAGAGCAAGCAGGAGCTGATGACGAATGGCTGCTGGCAAGCAGTCGTCCCACACCCAGTCAATTGCTTCTCTTCTGGCCACTCAACGCATGTTCTCGTTTTGTGTGACCGGTGTGTTACGAATGTTTCCAGGATATCAGTTTCCTCCGGCTTGTGCGTCCCTCTGCGAAGTTGCTGCCATGTTGTGTAGATAGTTATGGGAAATTTCGGTAAGTTTCTAAATCCTTTTGGGGTGCAGACAAGCAAACTCGGATCGCCTCCCCAGCCAAGTGGTAAATCTAAAATGCATGACCGCGCATCGGCCTAAGAACAAGCTGCAAATGACCGTAGCCAGGGTGGCGCACACACTTTTGTGTCATTCACATTTCTGCTCGCCTCGCAAAGTCCCGCGAATCCGCTGAGGCCAACTCTTCGAAGAAAAAAAGGGACTGGCATAAAGCTTTTATCACCTGTGTTTGGGAGCCCTGCGCCACGGAAGGACGGTACTGGTTGCCAAAAATTGCCTCCTTCATTGGGTCAGCCGACTTTGTTTCGATCTATACACGGGAGCGTGCAATCTTGTACAATGAATCCGCGCCATTGGGAAATAGAGACCATGCCGCATTTCTTAGTTCTTCTCAGTAGACACTCAAGTAATACACCAACTCGTTCTTTTGCCCCTACGCTACAGTGACTGCGTCCGTTTGGTTCTATCGCGTTATAATATATGTGGAGTTGCTTCATGAATGCGCGCAAGAAGGGCAACAAAATTTGGATCCCTGCCACTTATGGTGCGCATGTGGGATCATGAGAAGTTCCAGATGAAGGTTATAAATAGTTGTTCCAAGTCCATTGCTGTAAGTGAACTTGAGTAGGGAATTAAAGACATGCTTGCTCAGCCTATCCACAAAAACGTAAATTCTTTCGGAGGCTCTGACTGACGGCAGAGCCGCCTTGGGTTTCATCGAAACCACACTGCACTAGTGCTTTTCTGCTTTAGCTACGGACATTCCGGAGAAATGGGGACATAATCTTCGACTGCGACGCACATCTTATCCCGCCAAAGACTCCTGGCCACCGGCTTTTTCCCAATATTAACCCAGCTGTCACCAGCTACTACATGAGTTTACATTTTGCGCAGAGCGCGTTTACAAGACGAGGCCAGGACGTTCAATTCCAAAATTTTTTGTTACCACACAAGGGTTCGCCGCCTATGCTGCATTGCCTAATGCGTCCATGAGATTGGCAAGGGGAGCCGGTGCGTGAGTATCCAAAGAATCGAAGCAGAGCACTTTAAAAAGGAAACGGTTGCCGAGGAGAGCCAGGAGAGTGTGTCAGCGACCACGGTTTGTGTTACTTTGGTATAATTAAATGTGAAGTGGCTCTGTATGGGCCATAGAGCGCATCAACATTGTGCGAAACGGTGTGAGTGTTGCTTACCAGTTTGTTCACCACCAGCTGCATCACTAGCATTTTGGTGTTGGAAACAAAGGCTTGCGAAATCAGGGAGGGCGAACGCTGGCGACAGTGTCAGATACTTAATAATACTCCTCGTTGCTTATTTTCACGATTTTGTTCAAATGCTTGGTTTCTTCATGGTGATTGCGCCCCGTTCTGGTTCTGTGTTGCGAGAAAATCTCCTAGTGGTACTGCGGCAGTAGGCTGGAGACCGAAGAGCAGCTGAATCTCCGTGCAAGCGTACAGGAGTAGTAACCACTTCCAAATGGCTTTTATATATTTCATAGCCTATTGACAATTCCTGACACAGCAGCCATAGCGGGAGCCATAGGTGCTGCGGGTGCCTTAGAAGATGAACAGAAGAACGCCGAATATGTACGTAACCACTTAGCTTTCGTACTTTGGGAGCAACAACTTGTGGTTACTTAGTTCAGGAGGTGCTTTCACGATCCCCAGAGGTATACAGATGCACTCTAGTATGCTGGAGCTGGAGTGGAAAGCACGCTTGTTCAAGTCTTCGGGATGGGCTCGTATCTCCAAAAATGCATCAGCGAAGTCAAATAATGAATCGACTATTGCACCTTCCGGAGTTCTAGGACTATGAAAATGAGTTGCATGCACTTCTCCTTCGTTTCCGCCTGCTCCTGTAGGTTGTTTTTGGTTCTTATTCCACTTTTCGTCTTAGGGCGCTAATTCCATTCGTCTTTTGTAATAGGGCACAAACCCATTTAAGATCCCTTAATCCTGTATCCTACCATTGTTTCCCCGTGCAGAGACTTAAATATTGCCTTCTGGAGGTCGCCATCTCTCCCTCGAGTGTGTAACCCAGGCTGTGTACAGGGTGATGTTGTGGTGAACTGGTCCAGGAATCCCCGATTCATAGTAGTACGACGAATTTTTGACACGTCTCCCCGATCTCTTGTTCTGTCTGGCCTCGGTGAAGCTGAGGCGAAGGGAGTGTAGTATCGAATGGAGAGGTACGTTGGAACTCCTCGCCGTAGGTCCAGATTTCAGACTTACTTCGCAGTGTGTGTCAAGTATCTCTAGCGAGCCGTGGCGATTATTATGCATTTGGAGACGCATATAGTTATTTGAGGCGAATCTGCAGGTGAGGGTGTCACCTCTTCCGCCCCTTCACTGCGGCGCCCATTCCGAGAGAGGGTGACGGTCTTTCCCTGATCGCCTTGTTTATTTTCCTCCCAGTGTACTTCAACTTTTTGCTTCTTCATCTCCTTGTCGTTTCTATGCTCTTCCAATCTCGAACTCTGCTTCCTGCAGTATCCCACTAGGAGCCGGCCATCCGCCCTCCCCGCCTCCCCAGTTTTTCTCGATGTCGAGACATCCCGTTTCCGTGTGTTCTCTTTCCTTTGTGCGTGTGGGCATTTCTTCCTAGCAACAAGAAACTTAGCTTCCACATCCGAAACAGTTTGAAGGTCATTTTCTCCCATTTCAGCTGGGCAGCAAATCGTGCGTATTTTCCGCCCATTGATGCGTATGTCCTCCATAATCTCGACGAGTTCTACTCGTTCACCCCTTGGCTCTCGAGAGCCAGAATATTCGCTGGTAATCATTCTCTAGCGGACAGCCCTGCGATGGGTCACTGGCGTAAAAGCTTTGAGCCTCCTGTGGTGCTTCTGCTCATCGGGGAGTGGTGCTTCTCGATGCAGAGCTGCATCGGCAAATGTTTTTGGATAAATGTCCTTATCTGCTTGAGTTTGCTCCCTCTCCGGCTCTTAGACGAACATACATCTCTACATGCACCTCCGAAATGACGGTGCCACTGCTCGAGTAGGGCCACCATTGTCGTGCTGCCGGCTTCGACAAAGAATGGAATGTAGGGCAAAGTGTACTTCGGTAGAGCCCAAAAACTCCTCCGCTGCCCCTAAAAGTGCGATGTTAAGCACATATAGACCTTCATTGCAGGCGGCAAACTCTGGAAATGTCCTTGGGACACCTTATGATAAAGCAGTTTCGGGTGGTTGAATTTGCGTCTTGCTCATTTGAGCGTAATGATTTGCAGAGCCATTGGTGATCTCATCACCAGAGAAAAACCCAGGGGCCACTTTAGGTGAGAGACCATGTAGCGGTTGCCCGACGTTTCGCTTGGTTGGTCTAACCAACGGTTCATTGCATTGGACCAACAACCTCAGGCCTGCAATTCTCGGCGCAGGACAAAAGGCCAACTCGCCTTCAGGAAACAGCTCGCCTGCTTACGATGACCGCAGTTTAATGACCCAGGGAGGGTCTCGCTACGTTCCAAGCCCTGCTGTGGCGCATTCAGCTTAGTTCCCCAGGGCATTTTTTTGAGTTTGGAGGATGCACATCGAGGAGCCCTCGCTAAGTTCATCTCCATTACTATTAGGTATATATGCATTAACTAGATAAGTGGCACCAGTAGTTCCATTGTATAGTTGAAATGGGAAGCTCCTTTCAGCTGCCAAGCGCCTGCCCCACCTGCCAGCATCACCGTTCCCATCACCGTGCAAGTGGAGCCTCCGCTGGGCTTGCCGCTTTAGCCATAGATGCGTTGTTAGTAAGCGGCCCAGAGGCTTAGCGCCCTGGGGAGAACGGAAATAAATCATTGTATTTCCATTGTGTTTGGCAGCCCAAGAGTTTGTAGGGAATATTTAACTGTAAGTTATACTTGCCACCGCCTGCCGGATCTGTTCCTAGACAGCCACACTGGGCCGGCTACCACCGTCCCACAGCGGCTCGCCTTGGCATTCCACTCTTTCGCCGGACCTAGTTCGTCGTTCCTCTCGATTCCTACGGAGATCCAGCTGCCACGAACCCTCCCTGCCGGCCTCTTCTAAAGCGCTGGCCATCTTCGCATGGCTTCGGCAACTGTGGCCCAACTTGTTGATTGGATTTTAGGATAGAATTGAGATGAATATATATATATATATATATATATATCCGTAGAGGTGATAATTCATCAATATGCTTACGTATAGCAATGCACTTTCTGATTGGGTTTTAAGATGGAATGGAGGCATATAGAACCGTACAGTTGATGGTTCATGAATGAGTATGTACACCCTGGAAGACGCATTCTCCAAGGCTGGCATCCAGCTTCCGATCTGTGCCCAGATTGAAATCCTGCAGTACTTGGGGTAAGGTATGAAGATGCAACACGTGAATAGTGCGGGATCGTGACAGTCGTACATGGTATGAAGGCACAGGTAGGCCCTTTCACCTCCGAAAATCAGTGAAGGAACGAATAGCTTTTGCCTCTCACAAGCACGCCCTAAGCGGTTTGTACTGGCTCCACTGAATTGCTTTCTTCCCCCGCCGCACTATCTGGGGCATTACTTTGCTCATCTGCTCCAGATAGCGCTTCATGCTGCTCGAAATCGCTGTCGCTGTGATTGCTGCCGGCAGCCGGCGGTTCTTCAACATCTTCCAGTGGGGCAGTGAAAGCACTGTTGAAGAATGCTTCGGATTGCGCTCCGTCGTCAACCCCAGTTGTAATCTCGTTCCCCGGTTCTTCCCCTTCGAGGTGGCCCTTGTAATCTTGGATCATTTGTTTGTATTCAAGCATCTGCTGGCGTGCTGCAATTAGATCTCTCTGCCGTTGTATATTAAGTACCTCTCGATACGCAGACATTGACGTGCCCCAGCGCCTCCAACTTTCAAGGCCCGCTAGCAACAAAAGGACGCATGCTACTGCTGCTATCAAAAAGATCCCACCGACCGGCCTCATTAGGTCGTTTTGTTCTGCTGAGTCATCTTCTGATGATGGCTGATCGGGAGGTACAGGAAAGTTAACAACGCTCACCTCACAGCCCTCACCGCTAACGCAACTACGCGTTTCAAAAATGCTAGATGGACAAGCTTTACCTCCTGCCGAGGCTGCGCGGAGTATGTGCCAGACACGCATCTGTCGACATCCGATGCACTCGGACCAGCGGGAGGGAGATGGAAAACAGTCTTCATCTCGTAGAAGGCTTATCCCGAAAACCGAGTTGCAAAGTCCTTCTGCAAGTAACATAACCAATGCAAATGACACCGCAGTTAAGCGATAGAAACTCCAAGATATCAGTAAAGATGCCTACTGGGCCTGTAATGACATAGAATTCGTTGTTGTTGCTGCCATGATCAACGCAGTGGGATTCCCAGTTGCAACCTGTGGACCAGACCATGAAGAGGAAATTTGTAAACCCGGATTACACTGTTTACACGATACTACACTGGTATACTTATCTGAACGTCTCTTGCGGTAAACAGAAAATCAATGTACGCAAGGAATTCTCCCGCGAAGGGTAAACCACACCAGCGCAAGGTTCATGCTGGAAGAATTGACAGGGAACGCCCCCTTCCTTTTCCGTTTGGTAGACTTGCATAAACCTGCGGCGACGCCAGTAATAGGGGCTAGTTTTTGAGTCGTTCATAGTGCTGCTCTCCAGAAACTTACTTCTTATATTTAAGTGAGGTTCACCAGGCGCCAGTTGACACTGTACAGCAACATAGCCTAAGATGCCTTGCGTAAATCTACTACAGACATACAATCCCTGCTGAATATTGAAGTAGCAGTCCCATACCTTTTCCGTCGGCAATCAGCCTGGCAGGCTGTCCACTCGCTCCATGCGCCTTGGCAGTCAAGGCTGGCATGAGAGCTAAGTCTTTGCACCAGTGGAATAGTACAGGTGGGAGGCCCTAGAAACCCTCCTGTAGGGCAGATCTCCAAAGGCATACCGAACACCTGGACCTCGCCAATCCTGAAAGGCTTTCCCGCCTTAATGGTTATTGTCTTGGCACGATATAGGCGCAAGTCCATCGCCTCCCACACGCTTTGTGCAGCGGGGGAGGGAGGCACGCTCGTCTCCCATGTGTGGATATTTTCTCCACTGTCGTCCGCAACAGATATTGAACACTCAAAAGAACCCACTTGCGCCCTTGTTGCGCCAGATTGTCCGGTTGCGGAAGCAAATGCTATGCGCAAATGCCATATATCCACGGCACTCTTCAGCTCCAGAGTGGCAGAGGCCTCCCCTTCCACCCCAGCATGGACTTGTGTTGAGGTGTCAAGCAATTTGTCTTGCCATACCTCCAGCTCTGTTGGAGTATCAGAGGACCCTATATCTTCTCTAGGTATTCCCAATCCATCACCAACCTTATGTCGTCCAAATTCAGAAGTGCCAGGGTCCGGGGACAGCTTCGATTGAAACGCCTGTGCAGTCGCATCCCATTGTTTGTTAACTACGATACTTCCAATTTCGGCACGGCTGCAAGGAGATTCGAGGCAATGCCTAGCCAGTTCGGTGCCAGCCTGGAATGCACAAGAGGCGCCCCCTCGAGCAGCAACTTTCACTTGATAAGCATGCAGTGAGACACAAAACTCGGAGCAAGTGGCCGACGAAAACGGAGGAGACCACCTGCAACACAGCAGCACCGGAGGCGTATAATTTGGCTGGCTTCAGCAAAGCCATGACTACACTTTACATTATCTCTGAGGGAGTGAAGCTTTGCAACAGCCCAAAAGATATTAGTGAGGGACGCCATGCACGGACTCTCCTAGGCAATCGCCATCTGCATAGAACCCGGTTGCCCTTTGTACAGAGGCAATTCTTCCCGGAAGGTCCGCAGGTACGTAGTAAAAGCTCTCATCAACCGAAAACCTCTTTGTAGTCAGCATATTTATCCAGAGGACTGAGTCTGGCCCCTTTTGTAAAGATGTCACTGTCCGGGTCGGGAGCAAAGAACCATGCAAGACACGGCGAATCTCTACCTGAGATTCTTCCCGAAGCGATCCATCCCTGAGTCGCTCTTCAATATGCAGGATGTGGTTTACTGTATCATGATGCATCAGCAACACAGAAGCACTACCAGCAGCAGAACAGTGGAATGAGCGGTAAGCATCAGCATTGAAAACCCGAAGTGTCATTTCATTGTACGAGCGGGTGCCAGATATGGGTACTTGCATGTATAGCAGCTGGCCTGGTCGCGAAGAGGAAAACTCCGGAAATGGTTTACCATCCCACCATGGAAGCGGTGTGGTTTCCCAAGAAGCATCAGAATCTCGTACATAGTCCCATGCATGCTGCCGTAGCTTTTTCGAAACTGCTACTGGCTCCTCGAGAGCAAGAAATACAGCCCACTGATCATAGAACACCGGCGCGACACAAAATCCCTTTATTGCAGCAGGGGAAACAAATTTTTTTGATGGCAATTGAAATCCACCTCCAGCAACAAATCTTATGGCACTGTCTATAGGGTTGCTGTAGAAATATGTCATGTCGTTGGCTGTTGGATGCTCAGCGAAAATGGCATCGGGAATTTTGGTATTCGCCACTTCAGGGTTTCTAAGACTTGAAATAAACGATGCCCCTTTATTTTCCTGTGCATTTGCCAGCGAATCATAATAAAACAGCACTTGCTGAAGCTTCTTCCTGCTCTCGTCGGCAACTGTATACTCTGCACCCCGAACGATATAGTAGCTTCTCACTGCTTCCGGTGGGTAAAAATTCTCGTGGAAGGCACCAGAGCGCGAGAGCCACAGATTGTTGGGATACTGAACAGAAACCTGAGTCATTCTACTGAACTCTCGTATTTGCAACGTGTTGCTGAGAGAGCCAATGGCAAAGTGCTTGTGCACCCGGCTGCCATCTTTTCCCGGCCCAAGAAACACAAACGAGTCTCCATATGTGTGTGGGGTAAGGTTATGGCAATCCTGCGACAGCTGATTTTCTTCAATAGAAGTGAAGTACTCAAGAGGCACTCCATCTTCTCCGCCGTTGTGTAGACATAGAGGACATTCGTGGCTGAGGGTTACAGATGGGGAGCCAACAATTTGCTCGAATCTTGACAAGATTTCCGGGGCTCGCACGTCGTAGAAGACAATTTCGCACGGCAGATTCGAGTTGGCGATGCAGCACTTCAGATAAACGCATGCGGAAGGTAGCATACGAGTAAAAGCAACAAAATATGCTATATAGCCTTGATCATCTATTCTGTATCCAAAAAATCGCGGCTCCTGACGATCACCTGCCGTCAATGTTAGCTCGGATCCTTCTTGTTCGCCATCACTGCGAATCTCCACTCTCCTAGCAACGCACATTTTTTGTCGTCTTTTGAACAACAGAGGAGTGTCGTCAGGAATAGCACTGACGAATTTGTTGCCTTCAAACCTCCAACCACGCAGCGTCGCGTCAGTGTACGGGCAGTGGTGGTAAACTACATGAATAGAGCCAGAATCTGCTGCATCAATTAGGAGTGGCTCGGAGTAAGGCTCTCCCGAATCCATGTACATGCTGTACGGCTCGTAGGAGACTCCATAGTCGCTTGCTAAACTGTGGTTGCCCGCAAAAACAACCTCCAGCAGCTCTACTTTGGGAAGCGCTGCAGCGGGAAGAACAAAGCCCGTTGGGAGAAGCACGAATGCATTAAGTCTGTAGGCTTCTTCAGATTTAGCAAGATACGTGCTTCTTAGAAGATCCTGTCGAGGAAACAAACACATCCACGCAAGGAGAGCAATGAGTGTCTGTAAGGTGCGCGTAATCGCTTGGCGAACCGCCCCCCCCCGAAGCATGTTGTCCCGCCGCTGTTCAGAGATCTTAGCTTATTGAAAAAAAAAAACCACACGGTCTCCAATTGAATTCGCCTGCACCATCCTTTGTCGCAGTTGCTTAGCATTTCACTGTTCTCAGGAACAAAGAAAACTTCCAGCAATCAGATTTTACGGATGGTCATGATCTTGATACTACAAAGAACAGCTTTGAAACGTAAGTATCCCGAGGCTTGACGTGGTCCATTTGAGAAGGCAAAATGCTTTTAACTAGGAACAGCTGGCCGTCCCACTCAGCTAGGTCGAGGTCCATCAGAAGTGGTTAGCATACCGGGCCTTTTTCCTGACAGCTTGAGCTTTCCTTTCGGCACAACGTTTCCGACAACCTGTTGAACTGACTTGTACGTACATCAAGGCTGGAGAAAATTGTCAAAACGCGTGTGTGGAAGATTCCCAAACGAGCCCGTTGTTGCAGCCAGTCTGCATATTCAACGCCGAAAAACTCCTAAAAAATAGGACTTTTTGAGGAAACCCACAGGATACAGCAGGGGAACTGCTCATCGTACGTTGCCAGTTTCCAGCCTCTAGCGTGCGTCTCCGTATCACTTTCCTTCTTTGGAGCGCATGGTTGATTTGAAAACATGCAACTGCAGGGAAAGTAAGTTTGAATATCAGCGAGATCCGTCTGTATACTCAATTCCTCCTGCTCCAGTATGAACAAAGCATTAGATTGCCGATACTGCAACAAGACTCCGCATTACGCCTCTCGATTATTGCGTTGGGGCTGCCTGACAACTGAGTTTATTCTGCGTCCTGCCCAGCGGATCAATGTTTTGCACCCAGCACATTGTTACAATTCTTTTTCGACGTCCCTCGTGCTCCGAAGCCAGCAGAGACGTGCATCCAGCTTTTTCTTAGAACGGTACCCGCGATGGAAAGCGTTTCCTTGAAGCTAAGGTTCTCTGTAACCATGTATTTAGCAGACGAGTATATTGAGTTCATGCCTGCATTTGCAACTATTACTAGCCCCACACACTAGGAAACATTGTTCTCTGTCTCTGTCGGTTACAAGCTGCCTCTTCATCGAGACTATCCTGGCAACGCTTAAGCTTCCTTCACTCATAAAGAGAGGTGCTATCTATTTGCCATACTAAACATCGACAGTGTTCCGAAACGTGTATATGTGCAGATGGACTTAAGTGTGTGATGGTGAACCATGGGGCTGCCCGCTGATGCGCTGTGCCTTGGGGCTGGAGCCCAGATGCACCTGTCTCTTATATTTTGTCCATCAAGGCAGCTTCAATTGCTACGTAACTGAATCAAGAAACAAATGTTTACCTCCCCTGAAATGCAAAAAATGGTGTAATTCTTCTGGTACTGCGCGCGTCTTATCCCAGTGCGCGTATTTCCACCCCAACTATTGCACGCATGGAGTGTGACAAGTCCTCAGTTTTAGCAGACGGCCATCGTGAGGCGCAATGGAGGTTAAATACTCCACATAGGAGTTTCGCCACAATAACTGATCTCCCATTCAGTTTGCAAGCGTCCTTGGACCAGAGAGCAAAGGCCCTAGGCTGATGTGGAGAGGATGTTGCCATTCCTGAGTTGCAGCCCTTCATGCTGCAATGCCTGCTGGATGGCTGCCCAACATGCACCAGCCGGCCTTCCTTTTCTGCCCCAAGCAGCAGACACCCTCGTCTGCCTGCGTGTCGAAGGATGGATACACCCAGAGAATCAAGGAGGTTGCTAGACGGGCTTGGGCTCTAAAGTCAGAAAAGAAGAAACATGGCAAGGAAAAAATATTTCCGATGCTATTTGTAGTTACTGCTGCTGCTACCGACCTGCATCTTGCAGTGGGCAGCCCATGCAGTGGAGAGTTTAATGGCCATTTAAGGCTCCCTTTGCCATTAGCCTGCCTGGGTTGGGAGCCGGTTTTTCATCCATGCATCTCAACCGAATGAAACGTTTTGCATTGAATCGCCGCCATAGCTCAACTTGAGTCAGCAGGGGCCTCCTCAACGTTAAAAGGCGGCCCAGCCCCAGCATGGAGATATTGTCGGCGGCGACGCCGAGCTATCCGTAAGTATGGGAATTGGTGTTAATCACGGCGGAAAAATTTTAGAGCGACGAGCAAATAGGTAAAAATGTAGCAGATCTTTAGGAGTGGATACGCCGCCCAACTTAACGTGGCGGTGTGCGCGCCCATGCTTGTAATACGCCGCTGAGTCGAGGAAGCTGCAAAGATGCTTCTCGGGAATTTCTTTGCAGAAGTGTTCCTCAAAAGCACACTCGGGTCGTCTGTCTCCTGGTGGCGTGGAACGACATTCACGCTTTCTGTGACCTCTGCGCGTCTCGACAGGTGTGCCCAAGATGTCAGCTGCCTCCAGTTGCCACAACATCGGATCAGAGAAGAGTGTTTCGGTTTAGACCGGGACAGCTGGAGAACAACTGGTCTAGACATATACTGTTGAATATGCCGTCATTTCACACAAGGAAGGAAGTAGATGCGGTTCGATAGGGTCTCCTTGGTAGACAGTCGCATATTGTGCACAGACTTGGGGTTCATGCGCATACATTAAGAGCCTGCCTCCACCGGTTTCGCGGTGGGCATGCAAGGCTAACTATTTAGCAGCGTCTTGAATTCGAGCCAGAATGTGCTAATGAACTTCAGCTCCCTATCAATAATAGTGCTATCCGGTAAAACATGGAGCTTCTAGACGTGATCAATGAATAATTGGGTCACTGTCTCCTCCGTAAGTGAACACGAACAGCGGATAAAGCAGGCATATTTGCTCATTCTCTAAACAGCAACAAAAATGCTATCGCAGCTTCTGGCTGGCAGTTAACGCATCATAAGGTCCATTGAGGTATCTGTCCACATCCGCTTACAAGTGGGAAGATCCTGCAGGAGTTCGGATTCGAGAGTGTTTTCCGCTATAGCTGCCGGTATTCAAGTGAGGTTATATTCATCAGATTAGGAGAGCATCCTAGGCCACCAACGGGGCCTAGCCATTCGCTCAACGTGTTGTGTCCCGCTAAAGCGTGATCGTTCGTTTTGTGCAAAGCGTCAGGCGCAGGGTGGATTCCACCGTACGGCCAGCGGTGCCCACTCTCCGCCTGGTGCCACAGTAGACCGCCAATGCCACATGCTATAATGCCTAACTCGTCGCCCACTGTTGAGCTCGGCAAAGACTGTAACGAGCTTGATGGGCACCTACCGAACAAGGATACTGTAGTTTGGAAGAGCAAATGGTAGTAATATCAGAGAAGCGCCGAGGCAGAGTAGAGTGCCTGGGCGGTAGCGCATTGGGAGAGTGAGTCAGCGGCCTTGCTTGTGATGCCCTTGATACAGTCGGATGCGAAGTCGTGCTACGTGAGCCGGCAAGACCACCGAACAACTCCTTCACGATCAAAGTCCTGGAGAGTCTTTGTCACGCGTGTCAGGGACTTGGACTGTGGAGCGCCTGTTATGACTAACGTCGAGGCTTGTCTACTCCCCACCAGAGTGCTCAGAGCTCAATCTGACGTACTGAAAGCTTCTATTTTCTCTCTGTGGAAAAGCTTGAGTAACAGGCAATTATTAAGTGCTTTTTCAGGCTTCCAAATATCCGAGAGAGCACCACCATAACCGCAGTGTCGCTGGCATCGGCTGTCACGAAGAAGGCTCCGCTCAAATGAAGTAGCATGTGTATAAAAAACGATGTCACGCTCCGAACGAGGCTTCTGGCGTCTTCTGGAGCCGTCTCAACAAGTTGTTGTTTCATCATTAGTAGATCTGATCGAGGGACTTCTGAACATCCACGCGAATGAAGAAGCGGCCACCTTTGAATGGCCTCCATATTCTCCTGATCTGCTTCGGCTCGTGCTGAAATAAGCCCTAAGAATCTTATTGTCTGGGTGAAGCATGTGTTCGCTTGTGCTTTTAGGAATCGTTAATTCTTATGTAGCAGTTGCGTCGTATGCCATGAGTGCTGCAAGTGCCCCTGCACATTCCTGCTACACGCAAGCACGCCATCCGTGGATTTAACTTTTTCCAGCTCTCATTAATTGGGCCCAAGAAATCGTGATTAACCTGTCTCTCTGGCTCATCTGGTGTACCTAGTTGGCCAACTACCATACGCATGCACTCTAGTTGGCAAGTGCGAGTGCGGAACACAATATTGCGCCTCTCGTCTGAACGTACCGGCGTCTGCAAAAGCACGCCAACGAACTCACATGAAAAATACACTTCCGAGCCCTACGGACGGTCAAGTAAGTCACAGATCCTGGGCATCAGAATTTCTTACTTTATCGAGAATTTGTTGACAGCCACACTCCTGCCCGTCGTCTTCCCCAACACCGAGTTGTATCGAAACGCGCTAGTTAGCAGCTATGCTTTGCTTTTTCTCAACAATTCGTCCGCTTGAATCTCGAGTTCCCACTTCAAGGCACGGGGGTTGCCGGCACCTCGAAATAAACCGTGGGGCTGCGCAGGGAGTAAGTGTGATCCAGCTGCACTGGAATTCAGCTGGTGTCCGGCCAGCTGGGAGCTCTGTTTCATACGATACATGAGAACCATTTCCTCAACTGCGCCCTCCTCAGCTGCTTGTTGTGTGTGGAGTGGATAGAAGCATCCAAAACTGCAGTCGTCGCACAATTCATAACAAAGCAGTGCATGCATTCCCCCTCCTCTGGAAGCGCCTCTGTAATGCTGTGAAGTCCCGATGGTTTTCTCTTCGGTACAATGATTTTACTTCTATTGCTGTCTACGGGGCAGAATGTGTCGGGAACTCTGAGAGCTGCACTCTCTCACAGCTTCCCTTAATATGCACCACAATGGTGTCTTCTGGTGCCAACACAGTGGCACGCGCAGAGGCGCGCTCTACTGTGTCATCCACTGCATACCTAGGGTTTTAGGTCGTGTACTAGTCCAACAAAAAATCCCCGTATTGCGGTAGTGTGACCCTTTTCTAAATTGAGAACGCATTTCAGCACCGATTCCGTCTTCCTGTCCGCCACTAACGAAAAGTAGTCTCAGAAGCTGCACCAATAAGAAGACAGGTAGGTCGCAGATCCTGATCATAGCTTCATATATCAGATCCGCTTGTCTGCATGCGATAAGTAGCGCGGGAAACCTGGAGTTGATGAGAGGCGGGTTGACCGATGCAGACGCACCTCACCTTGCATGGAAATCAATGCGTTTTCCTGATTTCCCTACCAGAAAAAGGCCTTCGCGTGCAAGCACCTGCAAGCGTTTGTCCTATGCACACACGTACACCTGGCAAGCCGACAGGACAGCTGCTTAGTGACTTCGACGGAGGTGGGCTGCAGCAGCGCATCTTCGCCACGGCGTTGATAAAAGCTAGTCAGTATGTTCTAGTGCAGTATACATGTGTGGTATGAAGTTTGTGGCTTGCTTCGGCTGCGCAACATGGGGCACTCCCCACAGCCCAGCCCATGCGGAGCCGGGCCCCCATGCTCCTGCCAAAGCACTATTTTCTACTCTTCACTTATGCTAACGGCTACCATATTGTAGCTTCTACGCCCACCAAACCTAGAACCCGTGCCCTGCCCGTAAACCCATGCAGTTGGCGCCACCCAACCCCTCTAATCGCAACTACGTCGCAATCCTCGAAGTACACCAAATTATTGAACAACTAAACCGCCGTCACTGATCGTCCCACGAATACTGGCTCTCAGCAATGGATATAAAATGCAGTGCAGAAGTGTGGATGCATCTGATGAACGCTTGTCCTTGCCGTCTCTTGAGGCGTATTGTCGCACTGAAATGTCAAAGATTTGGTTTTGCTCGTCTGGTTGCACCTCGTGAAGTCTGGCGCATGTAGGTTTGTTGCGAATTTGCGTGTTAACTCTGTATATCCTTCCCTCTTAATACTGCGTGCAAAGCCGAAGGCATACAGCTCTCAAGAAAAGGGAGTCCAAGGAAATGCAGGGCTCGACCAATAATGCCACAGCGCTTGTCGAGTCAGCCACTGCGCGGACGAAGAGGCGCGCAGCTCTATTGAGCAAGGTACAGCAGTGCCACATGTGCATCAGAACACGGTAACATGCCCAGCAAAAAGACCGTGGAGCATGTTGAGAACAAACAGACAAACAAAACACCACAAAAAACGCAAAAAGGCGGGCTGTTTTATAGTAAATTCAAGCTCGTCCTTGTATTGTAAGACAAGCCCACATTCCCTACCCCTGAGCGTGTTTGCTTCCTCTCTTTATCTTACGCTTTTCGAAGGCACGAAATAAAGGTGCCAACAGACATCAAACGGCAACAAGGAAGATATTCACAAACGCTGCAGGAAGTCACCTTTCCCGCCGCTGTTCGTATAATAACCCTTCCATTTGAGCGTGGAAGGTGCGCATGGCTATAGCTGCAGCAGTCATCTCCTGCAGCGTCCCTGCTGACTCAGCTTTGCCCTTTGCTGCTTTGAACTTGCTCTGTAGCAAATGCATCTTTTGCTGTTCAACATGCGGATAGTCAGGGTCTGATGCTAAGGCGGCCTCCTGCATAGCCATGTGCTCGATGTCGTGCTGTAGAATATTTACTAAATGCAGACTCAGCAACTGCAGAAGAGCCTCTTCCTTCAAGCGGACTAAAGAATTCGCCATGACCTTCAGTCCTTCCAGCACCACTGTAGCGGTCGACAACTTATCCACCGACTTTAACTCGCGTAGTGCAGATGCGGCGAAGGTCATTTCTTCTTCAGACTTCTTCACGGTTTGATTCACTATTTCGAGGATACTTTGGGCAACGCTACCATGATGTCTTTGCATTGTGGTTGCAGAAGGAAATTTTCCCTTTTCAATGATATTCTCAACTCTCTCCTGGACGCCGTAGTAGGCGCGCTGCGTTACTTGATGCTTCCTAGCAAAATACTCGCGGTATTTGTCCGCCAGTTCCTCCATATCCTGCTTGCCCACCTCGTTTAGGTTCTCCACCCTTGGTTCGAATTCAGTGAGTACTTCCAATAACTTTTCCAGTTCTCCAGATGCCTCATCCTCGACTTCTTCACTCGCGCAGCAAATAGCGAAAATATCCCTTAGGGTTTGAGATTCTCGCAAATTTCTGGTACGAGCGGACAGCTCGGACACCTTGCTGGAGACGCCTTGTATCGCTTTGTCAATGCCTCTTAAAATAGCTCGCTTCTTTTTCGCAGATGCTCCTCCCTTCCAATCGTCTGAAGTATTCTGCAGTGCCATCTGACTCTGCTTCAAATGCATACGGACCACGTCGAGGGCCAGCTCGAGCCGCGCACGTTTGGTCTCTCTCTCTGCCAGCATCGTCACCTTTAAACCGCTAAGGGAGCCGGCCACCAAACCCTTTGCAACCTGTTCAACATACTGCTGAGCTGCTACTGTGGACAGCAAAGAATTAACCTTGGTGGTCGTTGAGTGCAAACCCCCCCCTTCGTCACCCGGTGCGAACAGCTGGGATTCCATCAGCTCCCCAAGAATCGTTTTAGAGCGGGCAGAGAGAGTTTCGGAAAGGCTATACACTGCCAACAACGACTGGAGGAAGGGGCCCACTGTGCTTTCCTGGAATGTCGCTAAAGATTCTATTTCTGCGACAGGGTTCGGATGATCAGCGTCCAAGAGTGGATAGAGAGAAATAACTTGGCTGTCCTGGGCAATGGCATAAGCATGCTGTATTATTTCTAGATGAAGCGTTTGTACGCATGCCACCGCAGCGTCAAGCGGCGCGTCCATCTCCTCTGGCGTCCCCCCTTCATGGAGCAGCCTTTCCGCTTCCTCCAGATTTTCCCGCAGTCTCCCCATCAGTTCCGCAGCTCCTCGAATTTCCAATGCGGCAGTCATCATTGAGGCAGGCTTAAGCAAGCTTCTGACCTTTTCGAGCCGTTCATTTTTTTGTGGCTTCTTGTGGTAAGCTGGACCCGACTCCTGGCGCCATTTCATAAGGGATCTCAACGCCTGTCGGTGGAACTGTAGTGCAACGGCAACAGATAAACCCAAAGCCACTAAAATCGAAATGGTAAACCGTCGCCGGACGCTGCCTTTGCCCGATAGAGCGTCTCCTTCCTTAGTTGCATTCGGTGGACCTCGCTCTTCTGGGGCATCTTCACCCTCATCGAAAAAAGGGTTTCTTGCTCCGAAGGTTGTTATTTGATTCAGACTCCAAGGATTTGCCGAATTTGGCCTAGCTGGCGACGTAAAACTATCCCGCCCAGCGGCATGCCAGAAGGTTTGCAATCCCAAGCCAAATATCAGTAAAAAATGCAAACCCAGCACTTTCGTCTTCTTCTGAAAACCCATCTTCTCAATCCTAGGAAAAAGGCTGTCGCTAAAGTGGAACTATGCAACAGACTTCATAGCACTTCGTCATTCTGTCTGCTTCGCGAGTGCAGCTGTCAGAACCACCGCCCGAATATATCGCAAAAAAGCGATATTGTCCGGACATTCCGATTTCCAGATCCTCTGCAGTTGTTTGCTCAAGTAAGAGCAAGAGAACGGCAGACTGTTCTGTGAATTGCGCTAGTGAGTCACACTGGACAACGCCAACAACGTTTCCCACACAGGATAAAGCCCCACTTTGGCCTAGGGCATGTAAGAGCCAGAAAAGCTTAACTTTTATTTGCCTAAGTCCCCCTACAACTTAAATCCAAAAGAATAAGTGCTACCAAAGAAGTTTCATTGCACTGCTCCCCGGTGCAAACCCGGTCTCTTAGCCTCTCGCCCCCTCTCATTGAGACGGTGCACGGCTGGGAGTTGACTGAGATCTATACGCTGTACCGTTTAAGAACTCCTAAAACAGTATTATTTAAACATGAAGATGATTGTTGACGACCAGGGAGGGCATTCTGATACGGGCTCGACTTCTCTACCCGCTCCACTGAACCCACTCGTCTCGTCATACCCTATTTCCGGTGTGAAACTTGCTCCTCCCGGAGTGGAAAGGCGCACTTCTACTTGCGAGATGCCAAATACGTTTTTAATAGTACTGTACAATGCTAGTACTTGCAGTAAAGCGGGCATATCATAGGTTGCACGGCGTACTACCATGCAGCACCAGGCCGGTCCTGTGCAGTGGACAGTCCGGACAAGACACAGGACTTTCGTTCCACAGCGAGAGCGCAAAACAGGATCACCATAGCTTATTAATCTGACATTAGAACAGCGTTCATTGAATACTTACTAGTTATCCTTGACACCTCAAATACCAAGACAGTTAGGAACTGTTCTCTATGGGGGGCAGGTGTGCCCGCTGACTCCCTTAAAGCTTGCGTTACTGAATCCGTGGGCTGAAAATGCTTGGCAAGCAGTGACACACACAAGCGCTCGCTGCGGCATACATGGAGGCGGGAGGAGTTCCACAGAGCGGAGACGGCGGCAGGAGGCAGTCTAGATATCCCCTATTGAGGCCGATGCTTCTTCCCATTAAATCGGCAAGTTGCGTTTGTTACTTTCAAATCTTGGAATATCTAGTGCCCTTGAAAAAATTTGATCATAAAGCCACGTTCCTTGCGGACCACTACGTGCTACTGGGAGTCCGTGTTGATTTTCACCACGACCCGAGATGACTCCACGTCATCGCACACCTACGGGGTCAGGATTGCGAGCTGAATACCACTTTCTTCTCACTACTATTAGAGTCCACTCAACGTTATTCCGTACACTAGTGGCGTGAAGTTCTCAGTATGCCATGCCTCTAGAGCTACTGAGAGCATCAAAGGTCCTCGCCCCTAGCGCAGCATCTTTCCCTTTCTTCAGACAGGTATTCCCCTAGCACTCATTAAAAATGCAGCATCTCCCTTTTGTTTCAGATGGTTTCTGTCCATGCCATTTGACTGCCAATCCCTGTAACCATAACGAGGTACTTCGATCTTCGCAGAGGACCGTCGTGAACGAACGAGGCTACTCGACGTAAATGCTCTCGAAAAAACAGCGCACCTCTCTCCAGTCTACCGTCGTCCTGCGCATAACGTCACAAAGGCTCTTGCCTGGTGCAGAGAAGAGGCAGCATGCCATGAGTTGCAGCGCCTCTTGCTAGAACTAGCCAGGCCCTCTTTACAGAACGCGATTACACTGTGCGCAGCTGCAAAAAAAACTACCTTGGCCCTCAGTATTCAAGGTGCTCGCAAGTAATAGTATATAAAATGCATTTTTCAGCCTAAAATAGAACATGCTACACAGACGGAGTCTTCCTGGGTAACCCTGCGCTCGCCTCCGTTTGTCTGCGAGGCCCACAGCTTGTCCACAGCGAAAATTTAGGTTCCGGACCAGTGATAAATGATGCCAAACTCATGCCAAACGAAAATCAGAAATGATGCCGCAAACAGCCAAGAAGGGACCCCCTTCTCTATACACGCCGACGTTATGGGCTGCTGGATGCCCCTCGGCTGGGCCTGCCGTTGCAGCTCCCTCGCCTCTCAGCTTAGCAAAGTTTCTCCCCTTTTCATGTGCTAGTCCAGAAGATGGAGAACTGGCCTGTGGTCACCTTCTCTATTGGGTCCTAGTTTTCTGCATGCAGCAGGCGACACACTGCACGGACCTTGAATGGGGCTTTTACAGGCAGTAATTGAACTCCGTAGACGGCTTCCTCTAGAGGCAAGTAAAATTTTCTTGTTTTTGTTATTTCGCTAACCGATTATCGGCTGCTTACCAAGAAATCACAGCCACTGCTTCCACCTCCTCCGTTCCTGTTGCGACTATGACCTACGGCTCTGGCACCGTGGTGATGCCGATATTTCGGCGTACAATGATTGGCATTTGCGGCGTCATCTCGCTCTATGTAACTATGGAACTCGCGGGGAAGCCCATCTATGCCCAGGTCACCACGAAACTTGCCAACGTGAGACGCACGCCACGGCAGACAGGAGACGCGCAGTCGTACATTTCCTGCGCTTTGCTGTCCCTCCTCTGTTTCTCGGCCCGTCATAGGCACTGTGCGGCATAGGCAAAAACTGCATTAGAGAAAGACAAAGCTGTCTCTGCTCGACGTCCCGCGTCATGTCCATGACTTCCACGAACTCAAACATCATGTTGTGCAATTCCTACGCTGGAATGGCAACTGTCCTCTCAATTGATTTGAATCAGCCCTAACACTTTCCTCAGTCAACTTCACGTTTTTGTAAATGAGCGCGCAAGCATCATTTATGCAATCATGCGGCATTTCCGGCGCTGCACGGGGGCGAAAGTGGTTGGCGTGGGATGCTCTGAGGGCCATTAGGCTGCATGGGTGTATGATGATGTATGTGCATCAAGAGAGCTGCATACATTTGTTTACTTTGCGTGTATGCCTCTTTCTCTGTGCGCATGCAGATGGGCAAGGAAGCTTCTGGCGGGGCTCACGCTCCAGGAGGTCACTAGGATTGCATTCATCTATTGTAAACCATCCTCCCCGACGTATCCCTCTGACAGCCCCGAGCCTCTCTCTCTTTCTTAACATTTTCCCTCCCTGTGCAGGAATGAGCTAGGCGCCCTGTGAGCAAGGGCGATGTTTGCTGCATGCCGTAAGAACTGTTTCTGCCCTCAAAGCCTCAGGGATGGCAATATGCTTGCCAGCGAACCGTGCCACTTTTTATTCTGATTCTACTATCAATTTGCGATATCCCACATGGTACTGCCATTGCAATTTATCTTGTGTACGCACGCATATCAGCCTGGGTGTTAAACTACGTGTATGGACCTCCGGCGTGCACGTGAGGCGTTATGGCTCAGGATGAAAGAAATACTACCACGTAAGGGCAGACGATACAGACGATCCAACACCCTTCTCCTTCCGTACAGTGATTAATTCCACTAGTCACGACTGCTTTTGCACATTTTGTGCTACTGCTTGCGCAAATAGACTTTTATTCCGAACGCGTGGAACTTGAAGGCTGTGCTCTTCTGGGTAGTCTCAAAGAATTGCAGAGATCTCCATTTGGGGTCACTGCAGATTTGCTGGTGTGAGGAAGCCAAGCGCATTGCGCACACTAACTCAGAAGCCAAAGAAAGGCGCAGTCACCTGCGGAAGGCCCGGCAGTACCGAAGCGTTCTTCGGAATGCTTGCAAAGCCTCCGAAATCAGGTTTTTGGTCCTCCTGCGGTTTGTGTTTCCCATTTGTGGGGCAAAGGGAAGTTTAAAGCTGTTCCACCTTACATTTCCATCAAAAGTAGCGCGGTTAATGGGCGTTATTACGCTAACTTTGTGATGGTGCGTACTCACGCCACCTCACAAAAGGGTATGTGCATGGTGCATGCGGCTGTGTTACTCGTCGGCTGCAAGTACGAGTAGTAGACGTTGGCCACACAGGCTGAGGCGGACGTGCGCGTGAGGAAGCTAAGGGTTTCCTGTGCACACCAAGCGAAAAACACGAACTCTAAGGAACGAACCTGTAATGGCGTGGCTTACAAGAGAGGTGGGAGGCTTTCGTTGCGTCTCGAATATCAAGAGCGTCGACTGATTCCGACTTCCGCTGCTGCTTATTTACTGCCTCGCGCTGCAGTGGGGGGACTTCGAGTTGCGAGGCTGTTGCACATTCTGCATAAAGGCACAACAAGAGGCTCAACCGGCGGCAGTATCAAGAGCTGCCGGCATGCATATCGTACACACGCATAATGCATATGTGGGGGCGCTATTCGACGCCCAAAAAGTACAACTTATCAAGAGGGGGGGGGTTGTGAATCGGTACACAAGTGTAAATATTGTGCGGGAGAAGTTAACTCAGAAAAAGCCTATCAGTCTCCTCATTACATGGGGCGGTGCTGCGCTTCCCCTGAGACGAGCAAAAAAGCATAAAGACGCACTGGCGGGCCATTGGAATCTTCCAGAATAATCCTCTTGGATGATCAGTAGGCTAGATGGGTTCCTTGCTATCCACGGGGACGCCTGCGGAACCTCTCTAGCACATCCAACAGTGTTTGTTTGGAGCTTTTCAGGTTAAGGTTGCGCCTTGCTGTTCTGTGCGTCTACTTTCATTGAAGTGCCGCAAATTGACGTTCTATTCATTTCAGTGGCACTATACTAAGCTCTTGTTCGATATTGAATTGCAACTTGTTGCGAACGCCGACCAACACCATTGGGTGCTGGGTGGTGTTCTGGTTTATGGCGTCCCTCTTGCCATTAAAACCCCACTTCCGAAACTCTAGGAATTTCCTCTGAATAATTTTGCTGTGTTAGAAGGCGTTTGTTGAGCTGAAGTACAACAGGGAACCCGGGGGCAAGTGCGGAGCTGCCGGACTTGACGCCGGACAACACGCTGGCCCCCCGATTTTACCGTGCGCGTTTTTGAAACATGTCCCCTAGAGTTTAAAAATGCAATTGAATATTTCGGAAGTAGGAGTTTGAATTTCAGTCAAGAGTTTACGGCCTGCCGCAGCCCCCCCCCCTGGTGCTAGTCCACTGTCGGCTGCGCAGCAGCGAAACATCATCTCAGTGAGGGACTGCATTGAATTTCCCCCTATATTTTTGTCCAGTTGGCTTGAAAAATTATCACTCTGGGAATAAGGAGCAGCGTTTCCTGCTCAGGCTGTGGAGTCTACTAATTGCCGCAACGTTCCCGACTGACCGACCTCCCGACTGCGCAGCGGAGAGTCGCAGCCATCCTCTTCTTCCCTGCAACCTCCTGTTTCCTTCCCACAGCACACATTCTCTAGATCAGTGCATGAGTGTTAAAGCAAAGGACTTCTTCATTAGGGCAGGAATTTCCGACGGCCAACCACAGCAGGTCACTGCACCCCATCTCCGCTTGAGCTGCAGGCAAACGCGAAGCGGAGCATAAATACGCTTTCGGGATCCAAATGGATAGGCATGCACCTCAACAGCAGCCTCTGCTGCAGCCGCAGCAGCAGGAACAAAAGCAGCACCCGCGCCAGCTGCAACAACAGCAGCCCAACCACCATCACCGGCAGGAACAACGCCAAACACCACAGCAGCAGCAGCAGCAACACCATCACCAGCATCAACAGGAGGAAGCGAACCAGCGCATAGGGGTGCATAAAGAGGCAGCAGCCCTCTCCCAGAGAGCAGCGAGTCTGCCGCCCTCCATCAGGCAGGCATCACCTCCTGTTTCAGTCCAAAGCATTCCTAATCATATTCAGCAGCAACAAAACCCGCAACTGCATCAACTGCAGACACAGCAACTTGTGCATCAGCAAATAAGTGGCAGCGGTTATCCAGTGAGGCCCTCCCAGACGCAGCAGCAGCAACTACTGCTTGCTGAACAGCACCGGCAGCAAATAGCGGAGTGTCATAAAGGGGAGCTCATGGGGACGCCTTATTTAACTGGAACATCAGCTGGACCCTCCCGCTATGCTGAGATGCTGCGAGGGCCCTCCCCCAGCTACTCTAATCCCCCCGTATACCCTTCCTTCCCGCTGTCAGGCGTGACACCTTCAATACTGCAACAGCAGTGGCAGCACCAGCAACAGCAGCAGTGGCAGCAGCAGCAGTGGTTGCAACAGCAGTGGCATCAGCATCAGACGATGCAGGTGCACCAGCAAACAAGGCCCCTTTATGCAGCGCCTGCGTTGGCTGAGCCTAAGAAAACGGCCAGTGCGATGGTATGCTCCCAGCTTGAGTACCTGGTTTCCAGTGTGTAGAGATTCCGATTATGGTTCAGCGTTTGTTGCGTTGTGGTGTCGGTTCAGCTGCGTCCGACCCAGCTGCTCCCCATGAGACTGTTAGGTGACCTCCGGCTGTACGTACCACATCGCGAGCCCTTTCTAGGTGAAGGCGGGTAGGTCTCTTGCTGCTACATATTTCAAGGTTAGGGTTTGGCTATCTATCCTCTAGTCAAGATTCCGCTCCTTTTCGTCCTAGAAATATTCCCAGCTCCTTTCTCCCCTCTGCATTTGCGTTTGCTCTCCAGAAGCGTGCACATGTACCTTCTGGGAAAGCAGGTTAAGCATTCTGTGGCCACGGACGAGGCGGAGGAGTGCACGCGAGACGTGTTGGCACTCATTGAGGCCCGGGAAGTCCCCGCAGATAGCACGATGCCTCTCCTCATACATGACGTGTGTACTGCCCTACACATTACCCAACCCAGAACTTTTGCACAAATGCCTGCCTACAGCGTTAAACTTCAACTTTCGGAGTTTACCGGCAAAATCGTGGCTGTGCAAACTCCATGAAAAAGTTCACCTTTTCAAGATTGCCAAGATAATGATAGCTGCCTTAAGCCATCATATCTTGGCAACTTTGAAGAGGAATGGGCTTTGAGGGTTAGGGGTTCGCAGGTTACGTCGCATCACCCCTTCCTTGCTTGTTGCGCTTACTAATTGCCACTGGTGCATTTCAGGGCCGTGTTGTCTGCGGGGGCCCTGAGGTATGTCTTCGGTATTTGTCCAAAAAGCTTGGACAGTACGGCAGCGACCATCTCAAGGACGCACTGCAAGACAGGCTGGTGGGCGCGTCTCTCTGTTTCTGCCACTCCCGCTTGTGCTGGTGCCTGCTGTTGAGAGTACTGCAGTACAGGTTACTACTGATGGCCCTGCATGGACTGACCTGCCCGTGGAGCTCATAGTGCGCCGTGCTGAGTTGCTCTCTGCATGTAATTTTCTTTCGTGCGCTGCAGCTAATGGATCTCAATACATGGTTTAATGTCCAGCAGGCAGCAATTCAGTCTATCCTCTCCCCAGAGTCGATGGCTAAGGACGCCATCAGCGACTACCTGAAGGTGGGTTGAAGATGGGAATGAACTTGTATTGCAACTGCAGCACCAGCAGCCTCACCAAAAAAACAGCAGTGGCAGCAGAAGAGTGATGCATGCTGTTGGACTGCCTGCCGCAGAGCCGACGCCATTTCTATCTGGAGGCCGAAAAGCTCTTGTCGTTTTTCAACAGCAAATACGCGTGTGCAGTGCAGCCGGGACTCGAGGGCTCGCTGAAGGCCCCCAGCGTTACACTTGATGCCTCCATAAGGGGGCCAGTTGTCACCCGTCTGCAGCCATTCTTTCTTGGGGAGGAGGACTCCCTCGCGGACTATTTTCTCTTTTCGCTCATCGACGACGACCAGAGGATTGCCGAGTGTCTTATTAGTAGCAGTAGCAGCAGCAGCAGCAGCGAGGGATCTTCCAACGGGGATCAGAAGCAACAGCAGCGACAGCAGTCAGACTCCGACACATCAGTGGAGATGCATTATTTCAACGAAGCTCCTCACCTGCACGCCCTCTACGTGGCTCTGTTGAATCTGCCCCTTATACAGGAGGCGTTGCTATCGAGCGACAGTCAAGAGGCATCAGCAGAAGCAACACCAGGAACAGCAACGGCAACAGCACAAGAAGAGAGAATCCCAGATGCTTCACGACGGACACAGGACCGCATAGCCCCGTGCGTTGCTACAGAGGCCTCCACTGCTGCGTCTGTTAGCGACTCCCCCCTGCAGCATCTGCAGCGGCACCAGCTGCTGCAGATGCAACAAGCCAAGCAGCTGCAACAGCTGGGTAGGTCACAGAGGATGCACGCAGCAGCCTTCAGCGGCAGGCTGTCCCAGTCTATCGAATTCAGCAATCCTCTGAACTGCTTCCACACAGACTGCTGCGTGTAGTTCACCGCAGCATCCAGCTCTTGCAGAAACCGATACACTGATATAGCGGCTTCCGGTGGTGTTTTCGTGTGCGATGGAGAAGAGGCTACGTTATGTTTAGACTTCTTTGCGAGGACCTCGTGCACTTGTTTGCAGGCCTAACGGGTTCTCTCCTTCAGTGCGGAGAAGGGCCCCAGCCTTACTTCCTGCCAGCCGTGGGGGGCAGCTACTGCCTACCAAGGACTCCTGCAGGTGCTGCAGCGCTGCACACCACGCTGCCCGGGGGAATCTCAGGGGGGGTCACTGGGGGCCCGTGCGCTTTTACCAGCGGTGCTGGACATATGCAACACATGCTGTCGTCACAGGCTGCGGCAGCAGCAGGAGCCCATTACACTGGGATGTATGCGGGGGCCCCATGCTACTGGCAACCCTTGACACCTGGGGGAGCGCTGCAACGCCAGCATAGCCTGCAGAGAGCGGACTGCGTTTACACAACCATAAATCCCGGTACTAGCCAACCACAGCAACAGCAGTTTCTCCAGGAGCTCCAGCAGTATGCAGGCCAGAAAGGGCCGAACATGCATCATATGCAGCAGCCTCAGCCGCACGCCAGCATGAACCCACCCCGCGGCCATTCTCCGCGGGTAGCTGTTGGTGGAGATATCGGAGGAGCTTCCAAGTGACTTCAGGGCCCGCCCAGCAACAGTTGCAGCAAGGAGATGGCACTCGCTGTTACCGGACTGCATCACAGCTTAGGTCCCTAAGACCTTCCTATCTGTTTTGAATAGAAAATGTGACTACCACAGCTTTGACAAGCTGAGGCTCCTTTTCTCATTGGGAGGCTCCCAGTTAACTTGTGCTCGCCTCCAAACCCCCCCCTGTGTCTCTTGTTGAATCGTGTCATCTAATTTTGACCCTTTCAAATGGCGAAAAACACCCGCAGCCCCCTCATGCATCACTTTAGATTGGAGCAGCACTCCTATCATCCCTCGCAAACATGAATGTAGTTAGTTAAATGGTAATGCCGATGTTAGCCACGCATCTCCCCGGTGGGGTGTACTTACTCAGCAGCTTTGCTTCGCCCCATTGACAATAGGGCAAAGCAGCGTTGCCACGGGGAAAAGCAAGCAAAGCGACTACTGCTACTTTGCAGGTGCCGCTACTGCAGCAGCAGCAGCTGCTGCTGCTGCTGGGCAATCGTCCTCAGCGTATTCGGCTGTTGGGCATCCCCTCGCGGCCCTGCGCAGTGCCGCCCGAACGTGCAGCAACAGGTCCTTGGTAGTGCCCGAGAGGCTGTTAGCAGCAAGATGTGGGAGGGATTCCGACAACAAAATGCAGTCTGAGGGGTGGCCCGCTGTCCCTACTTGTCCAGAGGGGCGTAGGGCCCTGTGAGAAGTTCATCCGGCGGAGGCGCAAAGGAGAGGCGGTTGGGACCCCGCCGCTCCGGGGAAGCCGAGCTGCAGCAGCAACACCCACTAGCGATTCAACTGATAGTAAAAAGAAAGCATAATAACCCCACTCTACAGGAGGCAAATATGCGCAATTGCATGTACCCAACCGGTCGCACATGGCTGCGCAGCGGGAAAAAAAACAGCACCCCAGCGGGAAGCGGGTTTTCCATGAACGTGCATCTACATCAGAGGGATCCTCACAACTACCACAACAATTATCATGGATAAACCAGCTCTACTCTTTAACGGGGAAGCAAATAACGCACGCTAGGAGCAGACCCCTGGGGCTCACCGTGATCTTTGCCCTCTTTTCTTGCGCCTTTCTTCCGCTTCTTTGCGTCTCCGCATCATCTCCGCCTCGTCTGGCATTGCAGACTGCCAGAAAGAGGCGGCTGCAGCTCCCCTGATATCTTGGCCAGGGGAAGGGCTGAGAGACAAGCATTGCAGGAGACAGTCAGTGAGTCGGATTATTACGCGTCCTCCGCATTCATCTGGACATATAATATTGTGATAGCAAGTGATGCCAAGGCCAGTTATTCTGCGGTTTGGGTCAGAGCCAGTGCCTTGCAACCCAAACCACGATATACTACTCAAGCTCTAAATTCCGCCGCTCGAATGCGGTGCTCTCTACGACGAGACCGAGGACCGAGGGAAAATGCCAGCAGCGGCAACAGGGGCTGCGCCAACACCAGATGTTCCTGTTGCACCGCCGAAGAGACTAACCCGTAGGGAGACTGCAACACAAGGAACGCACGCCGCAACCAGGGGTTGCAATCATTTCAGGGGCCAAATAAACAGACAACATCTATGGACCGTGCTTTGCAGCAACTTATCACTTCGCGTGTAGGGTTTACTGTTCGGGGCATCGCGCGCGCTACTTACCTCTCTCCATCCGCCCTTGTGCCCTGTAGGAGCTGTGAGGCACACACGCATCAGCAATCTGAGAGCCAAGGATCTTTTTTGCATGCGCCTCAAAAGACAAGCAAAGGCCAAGTCCCCTTGCCTTTCCTATGCTCTGTGACTTCTGCAGGGTTTGCCAGGATCTAAACCCTAAGCGTAGCTTGGTAGAAAAGTCTTCGGGATCTCACATAGGCTCCAAGATGTATGGTCTCGCATGCTTTCAAGACTAAACGCTAAGCACGAACAAAGGTCCATACTGAAACATGTGTGTGTAGGCAACCGTGCCAATGGTTGCGCCGGTAGGCAGGCGAGGCCGTGGCGTTAGGGTTTAAGGATGACGGCTTACATGCGTCTCGTGTAAATCCATGGGCGTTGTGCTGTCTCCAGGCCTCTTCAATGCAGACAAGCCTCCACCGCAGCAGCCGCAGGGCCTTCTCTGCAGCCCCCTGGGTGCAGGCCCTGGCGGCATAGCGCAGTCCTGTCCTCTCCCCCCCTCCGTGGGCATACCCTTCACCATACAGTTCAAGCCACAAAACTTTAAATCCGTGTTCTAAGATGTCACCGCCGAGCACTCAACTGAGCCCTTACGTTATGTGTCCGCCCCTCGTATGGGGTGCGCCACAATAGGGCAAAGCCTTAAATCTACCTAGCCCAAAGCCCCCCAGCCCAAAACGACGGTTTGTCTCTGCATAGAGGCAACATCAAAGCTTGATGGATCAAGAGGAAGAAGCCAGTTGCTCGGTCGGCTCGATTAAAAGGCCTAGAGCTCCGTTGGCTTGTTATGCAGAGTTTGTAGGGATTAGGGTTCAGGTGGTTCGTTTGATCACCTGGAGCCTGATCCTGCTCAATGTCTATCAGAGCCCCAGTACGCTGGCAAACGTCCTTAAGGAATTCTTCCTGCAGGCACAGCACACCACCTAAAACCCTTCAACTGCAAGCCCTTACACCTAAATCACAGTTTCTGAACGGCCCGTTCTCAGAAGAGTGGCCCTTCTGGGAGCTTAACAAGCATTCTCAGCATCCCCCGAGCCGCCGTCAGCAAGCCCTAAAAGACAGCTAGCCAGGGCATCAGCTCTGGGCCAACACAACGGCCCTTTCATACCCCCGCAACGAGGAGGAATGAGGCAAATTCAAGCACAAATAGAGGGCCAAGTGACCTCGGGAGGCACTTAACCGCCAATCCCGCTTCCCCATTGCTCTGCCTTTCAAAAGGAACTCGGCAAAGCGCCGCAGGAGGATCATAGATGGCTCCTTGGTGCTATTCTTACATCTTCCCCTGCCATGGCTGTAGTGCAGTCGAACGTCTCGTCATCTGCTGCGTCTGCGGGGGCTGGGAGGTACTGAGGCGGACTCAAACAGCTCCCTGAAAGATGCGGAGAAAAAGCGAAGGGGTGAATGGTCTAAGGCCTAGGGCCAAGGTGGCGCTAAAACCGCAAACCTGGGGTGTGTGTCCCCAGAAAACAGAGATAAGCTCACAGGCAGCAACAGCTCCTCGGTACAAGGTCTCCTGATCCTCCCCCACAACTCTAACATACAACCCCTGAAGCGCCTGCTGCTGCTGCAGTTGATGTTGCTGCAGCGGGGATCCTCGAAGAACAAAACCCGCCCCCGTGCGGCGCCTCAAAGAAGCGATGACCTCCACGTGCTGCAGCTGTTGCCACGCGTCTGGGCTTGCTGCAGTTACGCCACAAACCCCAGACTGCAGTGGCAGGTCCAAGATCCAAATTCCATTCTCCAGCTGTCTCTGCAACACAGCAGCAGGTCTGGTAAAGTAAGAGCACCTGCAGCAGTGGCATTTATGGCAGGCATGCCCCCTTATCCCACTGGTCGCTTGGTGCATTAGTTGCCGCAACACAGCAGCAACCTGCGGGCGTGAGGCCCTCAGGCACACAGCCGGGCTGTCCTACTGCTGTCTTCTTGATGTCTGCTCCCAACAAGTCCGGGTCTCTCAAGTCTGGTTTGGGGATAGCCGCGCAGACGGTGGCCATCGCCCGAACTGCCGCTTTGCGGGCTCTCTGCTGCATCAACTGTACATACACCCAAAGCCACAAACCCACCGCGTCATATCAGCAACAATCATGCCCATACTCCACACAGCTATTATTTCTACCAGAGTTATTGCTGTTGTTTCTGTTGCCTCGCACCTGCTTCTGCTGCGCTGCAATGGCTGCTGCAGCGTCAACTGAATTCCAGGAGCCTTCGTTTCTCCCAGGCACCGGCAGGATATGGGGTGCCTGTCTCTCTGCAGCTCCATGGATGCCTCCCTGGTCATGAGAGGAGCCTCCCCTAGGGGAGACATGGTGAAGGCTTCCCCTGCCTGCCGGCCCCTGGGAGAAGCCTGACTCATGGGGGCCTCCGTAGTCAAAGTTGGACGGTCCCCTAGGCGAGATATGGCTTCCCCTGGAGGCAGACGCAGAGGGGGGCCTGTGAGAAAATCCTGAACTTGCGGTAGAGGGAAGGGGCCCCACAGGCGCCGGAGGTACTGGTGGTGTTGATAAGCCGCCTTTCGAGCGGGCGAGAGAGGCGGCGATGGCCTGGGCCCGCTGGATGGACTCAGCAATGGAGGGATCTGGAGCCGGCGAAGAGCCGCTGCCCCCTGCGCTAGAACCAGACATTCCCAAGCGCCAAACCCTTTATCCGGAACCCTAGGTTCCTCCTCACCCTTAGAAAGCCCTCTCGCAACCCTGGACCCCTAGCACCAAGGTCCCAATTATAGGCACGACCATGCAGAAACAGCCAATATGCGATAGATCCCAAAAGGAAGCACCAGCTCCACAAGACGCTAGAGGCAATAAGAATTACAACCCGAAACCCTAATTCATTGGGACGGGAACGTTGCATGCGGTGGCAGCGCAGGCACACCGCCCCTAACTCAGCAAGCACTCTAGTGAGGAGGAATGGGGAAAAGCGGGCAATTTGTCGTTTTTCGCGGCGCGGAAGCATTAAATTTTGGAGGTCTTGGAACTGATTACTCGCACACTGCGAGGCCCAATTTGCATGCAGCCCCAGCCCGCAAAATTTGCCTTAGGCAGAAGCGCAGGGAGTTGCGTATTCGTTGCCTCAAGTCGCCCCGCCACCTCTCGAAACGATATTGAGACTCATTAGAAGTAATTGCGCACACATTCCAGTCCCCACTGTGTCCCTGCGCGCTGCACACCGAGAACAATACAGGAAGTTTACTTAACTGTGTGCGTGCATAGGCAGGAGGATTTGCCTGTTGCTGCTGTTACCACAGGGCAGTCTGGCATGAGTTCCACTTCTAGAGTTTGCACCTACTCTTTTACCAGAATCTGAGTCGGGGTGTACATGCGTGTACACTGAAATTAGAATGTGAAAGCGTGTAACAGCTGTACGATGAGGTCAGTGCGAAGTAAGACCTTCTACTAGTGTTTCCGTGCAGATATTTACGTCAGCATGCATGCAAATGGCTAGCAGAAAGTTCCTGTATATTGTTCTCCATGCCATTTAACCAAAAGGATCGTCTCGTCTGCCTGCGGGCATTTGGGAGTGCCGGCGCCCCATGCAGATTTTCACAAGAAAAAGCGGTGCCTGGACGCGTGGTCCTTTCTATTGCTTAACGATGTATAAAGGAGCCCTTGGGCTTTGTAGCCCCGAGCTTCGGCCCCTCTTAGAGCGCGGGAATAGCTGTCGGGAAGGGCGTGAGCGCAGGAGAGGCCTCAGGGGACAGCTCCAATGCGGAGTGGGGGGTGGAGAGTTGAAGAGTCTCAGGGCTGCTGGTGTGCTTGTACTCTGTGGCTAGAGGGGGGCCTTCGTGCCTCCCCCTCTTGAACCTATACGCTGATGGGCCGCCAACCCGGGGGCCCCTCCCAGACCCGTGAATTGCCCCTGCCTTAGCGCGGTGCAGCCACTCCAAGGCAAGTTGCTGGGCCCTTTCCTTGCCAAATTTTTTGGACTGAAATACTTTATATCTGGCTTGTGGCTCTTCCATCCAGAAGACTCTAAGAAGCGCTCACACCCACACGTAAGTAAAACCTGATTAGTAAGGCATAGTCAAGCAGAGATAAACGCCGGTGGTGGCCCGGGCCTGGGTGGCGAGAAACGGATGATGTTGACTAGGATGGGGCTTCGAATGCCTCTTCGTCTCTATCATGAGTGTGCTCCTACTAAGATTAACTAAAGTTGTTACACTAAGAAACGTGAGCCTGGGCCGTGGGTACGGTCGAGGGCTGGGCTGAAGGTAGGGCTAAAGGCTTAGGCTTTAGGCTGTCACTTGAGTCTGAGACCTGCGCTTACCTCCATTCTCTGCTCTCTCCATCGTATTGCAGCACGGGCTCCACGGGCCGCCGGGGTCCAGCAGCAGCAATGGCTGCTAGCATCTCAGGTGGCAGAGGAAGGGGCTTCCTAAAACCTTTCCTGGTCCTCACGGGCACAGCCGCGATTTCCATCATTGTCTGATGAGTGCTGCTGCTGCCACTGCAGGCAGAATCTCTTGTTTCTTCCCTCCCGCCGTCCCTCCAGCGGCTGCCGTTGGAGCCCGATGTTCCCTCGGGACCCCCAGAGAGCTTTCCGGTCCGGGCTGCTTCAGGTATATCTCCCCAGGTGGCCGCTTGCCTTGTTGCAATTCCGCAGCTTTGGGGGGAGGGCAGATGCTGGTTCGTGTTGGGCCTTAAACAGAAGGGGGTTCCAGCGACTCTTCTGCTGGAGGCATAAAGCGTGGTGTTTCCGGAGTCTCTGGCACTTCGGAACCCGTCAGCCAGTTTGCTTCTGTCCCTTACTCCTCCCTCTCGCCTGCGCCTCCCCTCCCTAGCGTAGGGCTTTGCGGCCTCGAGTGCCTTCCCCCCGCAGAAACGAGTGGTGCAGTTCGGTAGAGGAAAATGCGCTCTCCCGCTTCCTTCCGCTCCGCTCTCTCCCGCCTCATCTTCAGAGGACCCAAACCACTGTACCCCAGAGCACACAAACGCGTCCGCGCACAATGCCGTCCGCGGGTAGCGACTGAGGGGTTGAGGGGCCCCCAATGGGGGACCCTCAAACCCAAGCAAGGGTGCAAACAGCTCGAGGCACGGTCGGCCGTCTTCCTTCTCGTTGGAAAAACTGCTCATCCCGTAGCCGCGCTTCTTGACCAAAGTGGGGTTCCACGACCCCACTTTGCTGCCGCAGCTGCTGCTGCAGCTGCTGCTATCCGTTGCATCAAACTCGGTCCTCTGTGGGACCGACCACTGCTGTGCTGGACTCCCCCAGTCACTGTGTGGAGAGCACGATTCAGGGAGGGGAGGCAGGCCGGCGGCCCCACCAGGTTCAGGTCGGCTCCATGAGGTGCATGTGAAGTTGTCCCCTTCAGCAGGTGAGGCCATGGCTTGCGCGGGTAACAAGGAGTCTCTGAGAGCGGAGAGGCTTCCTTCTGCCGGCGTCTGAGCGGCGCTCATACCCCCAAGGCGGTCCTGAAGGAGACAGTGCAGCAAAGAGACCGAAACACTCCGCCAAGTAATCAACTGCAAGGGGCAACAACTGCAAAGCTCCCACCTAGCAGACACAGCGGCCCCTTCGCCGCTTTCCCCAGAAAGACAGGAGAGAGCTGCAGCATCCTAAAGCTGAATGGGAGTCAGCCCTGCCCTCAAACCTGCTGGGTTTTTGCTGCAAAAGTGCGTGTATTTCGCTGCTTACGCCGGCCATCTTCTTTATGGGGACAGCCTGTAGGGGGCTCTCCCCTCCCACAGGGGCCATGGCCGCTGCGCGCTGCAGCAGCAGCTCGAGCTCTTGCTGCGGGTTCACAAGGTTGCTTTCAACCGTGCAGGTACCCCCAAAGCCCCAGCGGACAGACTCTTGAAGGGCCCCGCATAGACAGGGGGGTCCCCAACATAGACCTGCTAGAAGATGCTCGAGACAATAACAGAAGCGAGGCTCACAAGAAAGGGCCCCTTGCTGGCACACTGCAGCACAGGAGCCCCCACTTGAGGCCAAAACTGATGGCTCACTAGGACGGACTATTGTTATTTTTGTTGGGGTTCCAGCTGTTGCTGGCGCTGCTGCTAGTAGTTTTGTTGCTGCCGTCTGTGTTCCAGCTGTGGTTGGTTGTGCTGTTGCTACCAGCGATGCTGCGGTTTGTGCCGTTGGTATTTCTCCTGATATCGACACTGCTGCTGCTGTTGGTGCTGCCTCTGCTGTATGGGCTACTGGTGCTGGTGTTGGAGTCGCAGCTGCTGCAGTTGGCGTTGTTGCTGCTGTTGTTGGTGTTGCAGCAGCTGCAGGTGTTGTGGGCGCCGCTGTTGGCGTTGTTGCTGCAGCTGTTGGTGTTGCTACTGCTGCTGGCGACGACGATTTTGCAGCTGCTGAATCGGCTTCTGATGCAGCTGTCCTCGCTGGTGGTGGACTGTTGCTGCTGCTGTAGGCCACGGGGAGCGGCCGAAGGGGCTGCCTAACAAGGTTATGGATGCCGGAGCTGTCGTCGCAGCTGTTGCTCTTATGCGTCTTCGGCGTGCTGCTACTGTGCTCCCTAACTGCCCTTAGCAGAAGCAGCGGGTGCATTTCCTTCGACTGCTGCGTCTGTGGTTTTGTCACACCACCAGCTTTTCCAATCTCATGAACCGGTTCCTGTTGTGAACTCTCATATCGGGTTCCGGCGTGCAGCTCCTTTGGCCCTTTTACATCCTGCCAAGTGCGCGCGAAGGCTCCCAAAGAAGCCCCACTCGCGGGAGCCTCACTCGTGGGGGCCCCACTTAAGGAGACCCGTTTATCCTCTGCCTCAGGCGTTATGGGGCCAGGGTCTGCAGCCTCCACAAGCCAACGTTTAGGCGCCTTGTCTTGCTGCTCCTCCTGTGGAGTGGCTTCAAACGTACGTGCTTCCAAAGCCCTGCAGCAGCAGCCGTTGCTGCTGCTGCTGCTGTTGCCGCACGCGCTTTTGGTCAGGTCGCCCATAACAGCCCTTCTGAGGAAAAGATTCATACGGCCGCGCCATTGGTACTCCCCGCGGATTGGGCTTCCGCCCTTACAGGTGGTGTTGGAGCTGCGCTTGCAGTTATCGTTGTTGTTGCTGTTGCTCCTGCTGTTAAGCGCCTCTGAGGAAGTGTAGAGAAGGGGGGACAGCCGCTCCTCTGGCCTGCTAGAGGTGCTGCAGACTGTGCTGCAGTCCATCTCCTTGGTCGAGTTGCAGGAGCAGCTGCTGCTACTGCTTTGCTGTTCTCCCCACCATTTGAAGTCTCCCCTGCAGCTACAAATTGAGCTATTGCAGCTGGTGCTGCAGCGATTGCTGTTGTCAGCCTCGCAACGGCTGTTGCAGGGGCCCAGGCAGCAGTAACAATCACGATGCCCCGCGGAAGCAGGGCTCTCTGCGAAGCTGCCTGTGGAGCCCCAGTTCTCCGCAGGCTCTTCAGCTCCAGCTGGGCTGCTGCTGCTGCTGCAGCTGCTGCTGCACAAGCTCATTTCGATGGCAGGCAGCGTCAGCAACTCCGAAGGCGCCGCTGTTCCGCCTTGCTCCTGCACAGTGCCCATCTTCCTGCCCCGTAAAGACCCACTCGCCTCCACAGTGGTTAGGGCGAGGCTTCCCCGCTTAGAGTTCATGGAGACAGTTGGTCTATCCCTCGAATCTCCTTTCTTGTTGCAGCAGGGCTATCCACTTGCTGGTGTCAAGCTCTGCTTGTGTGTATAGCAACAGAGCGGCGCAGTACGTCGCGGTTCTTTTCCAGACCTTTCAGTTGCTGCCTGCCAGATTTCCAGCCAATGTACTTTAAAGTGAACCTTATGCTAGTGCTGCTGCAGGTGCAGAAGCTGCGGAGGCGGAGGCAACGGACGCTGCTGCGTGCTGCGGACGAGCCGCAGGTCACTGGCCATATGCAGCGGCAGGAAGGCAGCAACAGTTACCTCATGTACGGCAACAGCCAATCCAAATGCTGGGGAAAGGCCCTTAGAGTCCATAAACGAAAAAAAATGCGACGAGGGCAACGAGATGCCGCTTGGGACCGGGGTGATGGGGGATCGGGTGGGTAAGCGCCCGGCTGTGTAAGCGTCTGCTGTCTGTCGTCTTATGACGAATTGCTGAAATTATATTTGCTATTACGGAAGGTTGAGGCTGCATTAGATGGCCTCGGAGACTCTTTACTCCAGCAGCGTTTATGTGAGACAGGCGCCCGTCTGATCCGTGCAGGGGGGAGGCAGTTGGAAGGGGTCAAAGGTGCGGCTCATTGGCCGCTATGAAGGCCCCAATTGCAGAAACGCAAACACTTTCATCTAATTTTAAAGCAACCCAAAAGAAAGCCGGGGGGAAAAGAGGCAAGCAGGCAATGCAGGGGGCTGCACACCGCCCGGGGTTGGGGGTGGTTCCCGCTCGGTAGCTGCACGGCTGCAGCGCCACCTGTGTCAAACAACGAGTATTAAATCAAGGATTGAACCGCCTACGTTTTCCTTCATCATTAAATTTAACCCCAAAATGATCAATTTTACTCATTTTTGGCTCGGGATGAACACTCGTAGCCGGCGGTGTCGGTTGCTGCCCAGCTTCACCCCCCAAGAGCGGTCCCTAGTGTGAGTTAGATAGCGGTGTTTTCTCCCTTTTTACCGTTCAAAAATTAGCTTGCAAACGCGTTTAAGTGTTCGAGAAGATTTTTTCAGAAAGGCTTGCATTAAGAATCCCAAAAGACACCGCAGCACGGGTAGCCCAAGTTGCAGGCAGAATCGACGGCCGCCTTGCGGCAACTATTTTTCGTACCATACCTCTGCTAGGCTTAGGTGAAAAAAACCAGCATCTAGAAACAATAAATGCCAGAGGAAAATGATTACCCCTAAAGCCAGTACCTAAGCCACCCCCTTGCAAGAACCCAGTTGCCAGTGCAGCGGTGTTTGCTGTTCCTGTATTTGCCTAAGCTTCTAGCCGCGTGCTACAGTAGCAACAACAGTGAGATACTCGGCAATAGTCGCAGCTGCAATATATGATGAACGGTGAAGCATTTCCTTCGAAATGAGCAACAGAGACTAAAACGCCCCACCACCATTCTGCAAAGGCGCGATCTGTCCATGCTGCGTTTCCTCGGTCCTCACTACAACCCTCTTATGGGGAGAAAGGATGCTACTGCAGCTCATGTTACAGCTGCTATCCGAGCTGCTGTTACTGACGCTTGTGCTGCAACATGTGTCTCCAGCGTTGCATCTATAGCTCGTGCTGCCGCCACTGCTGCAATTTATGCCCTGTATTGCTGCTCATTTTGCAGACTTCGCTGCACCTGATGCTGCTCCGTTCGTATTGCTTCGTTGCTTCTTACCCACTCTATTCCCAAAAGGCGTTCACAAGCAAGCACCCCAGATGAGGCGATCTGTCGATCGAGAATGTGTATGCCGCGGCGGCTCGATGTGACTTACTGCAGCAACAAGAAATGAAAACAGCAACGTCCCCAGTCTATTCATCTATGCAATCCGGATGTTCGGTGCTAATGCAGGGCCCAAGGCCTTTTGATGGGAAGAAAATGGATTGGCAGTCCCCCCTGCACGCAATTTGCCCCAGGACACGTGCACGTACAGCAATAATTCTACCGCTCTACTCTCTTCAGGCATAACTCCCTACGCAAGTACAGCATCAGACTTGTTAATAATGGGCTTACTGAGTTCGTGGGGGTCTTCGATAGGCTCGTTCCGTTGCAGCTGCCCGCTGCACGGCTGCTGCTGCTGCTGCCAGACGTGGAAGTTCAGCACTTGCAGCAACAGCAGAGACACTGCCGGCTGTCTGCTGTAGGAGCTGTATCAACTCCAAAAGCAAGTCACTGACTTGCACCCAATCATCCTGTTGCAGGAAGTCTTCCAGCTTCACTATACTGCAACAGCAGCATCCGTTCCTGCTGTTGCTGCTGTTGGGTGCAGCGCCTGCCGCAGCTGTTTCGTCCTGGGAAAAGCACGGATACAGAACATGCCAAATCTCAACAAACTGACGTTGTGACTGGTGCTGCTGGGAGTCTCCTGGCTGCCGTGTGAGCAGGCTGCGGAGGGGCCATAAAAGCAACTGCAGCGCGAGTGACCGAAGAGAGGCAAATGCGACTGCTACCTGCAGCATCACTCGCCACAGGCAGCTGCCTCCGTTGCATCTGGTGCAGCAGCTCTGGAAGGAATGCATGTTGGTTGGCCTCGCGGCATAGTGAACGAGCAAGGCTCGCAGGACCTGTTGCAGCGCCCCTACAGGGTCTTGATGCTGCGCTATATTCCAGTAGGTGCTGGCGCAACTCTCCTTCAAGATGATGCTTCGGCAGCAGACATTAATATTCCATGGCTGCTGGTGTGAGAGGGCCACGTGGGCCGCAGAAAGCGTAGCGTTCTGCAGCGCCATGGTGAAGTCCTGCTGCAAACATTGCAGCTGCTGCAACTCGTACTGCACTGCCTGTTGCATTTGCGGCTCCCCAGCTGTAGCCAGTGCTGCTGATGCTGCTGCTGTCATCGCTGATGAAAATGCGCATATCAAGTTGCCACGGGTTTCTATGATGGCAAGAGCATGTTGCTGCCCAGCCCTCACAGATGCTGCTTCTGCTGTTGTTGCTGCTGCTGCAGTTGGAGTTACTGCTGCTATTTCTGCATTTGCTGCTTCCATTACTGATCCTGCCACGGAAACTGTGGCCCGATAAGGGACACAAACTCCCCACACTGCTGGGCCGACAACCCGTATCCATGTAGTACGCAGAAGGCGCGCAGCAGCTGCAACTGCAGCTGCACCAGCAGAAGCAGCAACACCATCACTCGAAGCAGCAACAGGAACATACCTTGTAGCTGTAGCTGAGCTGGAATCCATCTTGCGGCTTTCAAGGAAGCGTGCGAGAGTTTGCAGAGCTGCAGCAGCGCTAGTTTCTACTGCGACCCACGCCAAAGGAAGCGCAGCTGCGCTGCTCGTTGCTGCTGTATTTGCAGTCGCATCCTCGCCTCCACTGTTGCAGATTGGCTGGAAACTATTCAAATCATATGCTTCAAGAGAAGGACAGGCAGATCGAGTGGAAATCATACACTTGCTAGGAGAGGTGCTGCTGCCGCTGCTGCTGCAGTTGCTGCCGCCGTTACTGCACCCACTACAGCTTTTGCTGCCTTCCCTCCTATCAATGATGGGGGATTGTAAGATTTGCTGCAGCATGCGGCAAGCGAGTGGCTGTTGAAGCTGCTGCTGCTCCTTGCGCGATAGCAAGAGGCGTAAAAGGGCAATGTCTGCATCTGCTGCTGCCGCGAAAAAATCGGATATATGCTCCTGCTGTTGCAGCGGCCTTCCAGCTTCTGCTGATTCTAGACAGAGCCTCATAACCTCTCCAACCCCGCGTGCAAAGCATTGCCGCAGCGCCCCCGCCGCAAAAGCAGCCCCTTCTGTTAGACCAGGCGCTGCTGCTGCAACAGCTGACTGTTGTATCTGCACGCACGCGCTCCTCGCTGCCTCCCTCAAGGCAACAAGGAGCTTACCTAAACACCCGAATGCCATAGTTTTGGCAACTGCAACGGGCGATTCAGTTGCTGGCAAGCCTGCCGCCGCTGCTGTTGATTTCCCTGCTGCCGGTGCCGGTGCATGGGTAGTCCATACGCAAGGACTGACGAGCCTCAGCAGCAGGTTGACCAACGAAGAAACAACATCTTCTAGGGTATCAGCCTCTTCAGCATTATTTGTTGCTTCCACTGCTGCTAGTGATAGCCTGGGCAGCTGCACCAGCACGCAGACACAGCACAGCGGCGCTTCTGCTGCAGCTGCTGCCGCCTCCACGATGTTCCAGCTGGTGCCGGTGCTGCTCGCCTTACTCCTGTCGGGTCTCTCCCTCTGCAGCAAAGCCAGCAAAAGATCAAACCGTTCCGTGCAGGTTCGAATGGCAGCTCTCAGAAGCCTCATGAGCCGCTGCTCAAGCAGACCCAGAAGCTGCCACTGCTGCAGCGCCAACAGATTACTGATACACCGCTGTCGTGGCTGGTGCTTGATCTGCATCTGGCACCGCTGCTGAAGTTGATGCTGTTGCACGTGGAGAATGGCTATGCGCAGTAGATGGATAGCTTCGGCTGCATGCAATGAAAGAGAGAAAGGAGTGGCTGCTGTATCTTGCATACCCTCGCCCTTCAACGACTGCTGCTCCAAAGCTGGCAGCAGTAATAGCAGCAACAACGGAAACGCTGGTGCTGCAGCTTCTGCCAAAAACTCTCGGATGTACGGCTTTGCTTTTAAGTCGGCGGCAGGTGCTGCTGCACCAGTAACCGGATGCGGCGTACTCTGCTGCAGCATCAGCAGGAAGCAGCACGCCACTGAAGTCGCTAATTCTGTTGCTGCTGCAGCTGCTGCGCTGTTTCCTTTCACTGCAGCTTTGATAATCGAATTGCACAGAGACACGGAACTCGCCCCTTTGCCTGCTTCCCTTACTGCTGCTGTTGCTGCTGCTGTTCCACCGTCCGCTGCTGCAGCTTCATCATATCTACACCATGCGGATTCTGCGCAGACTGCTTCTATTGCAGCCTCCTGAATCGTCACAGACAGCTCGTCTAGAGCCGCTGCTGCAAGGATGTCTGCTGCTGCTTCTCGCAGCTCAAAGCAAACACCCAAGTGATGAAGGCACAGATACGCCACCTTAACCACACCTTTGCTGCCGCTTGTGCAGCCACTAGCTCGCCAGGCACGTAGCAACAGGGCCAGCTGCAGCAGCAGCACCAATCGCTTCTGATGGTGCAACGAATCAGCATCCAGCGCCAGCCAATCTGGCGCAAGTTGTTCGTCCTCTCCTTGCTGGAGCTGGAGCAGCCGCACTATCTGTTCCACGACGAAAGCCCTGTACTGCCTCAGGAACCCGCTGTCGCAACGACAAACGGAACAGGCCAACCGGTCCTGCAGCAACAGCAGCAGCAACTGCAGCAGCAACAAATGCAGCCGCTCATGATGCTTTTGTTGCACTCGCACGTCCCCCAGTAAATGAACAAGGCGCGCACAGAAGCTTCGGCAGCTTTTAACGCTGCAGCAGCAGGTCGCACAGAATTCGCTACCTTTCTCGAGCAACTTCTGCTCCTCCTGCTGCACGTCCTGCTGCAGGTTAGCCTCCTCCTGCACCAGCTGGGTTTTTTGCTGCGGACTATGCTGGTGGTGCACGTCCCCGTCCTTTTTGCAGTGCCTGTGTAGATCAACAGTGGCCGAAGTTATGCGCCAAAGGATTTGCTGTGCTACTTCGGCTGGTAGAGACTGATGCGCATGTGGCTCCGCGTGCTGCTGCTGCGGCGGAATCGAAGAATCAGTAGGAGGAGGAGCAGCAGATGCCCAAAAAACACTAGCGGGGCGCAATTCCTCTGGCTTTTCCGATGCAGGCGCACCGAGAGCGTTTGTAGCTGCTACTGCTTCTTCTGCGGAAGCACTTCCTGATGAATATGTTGCCCTCTTTAAGGCGCATGTTGCATCAGGAGCCGTTGGGGTACCATACTGCTGCTGCAGCTGCTCCAGCCTGTCCTCTATGGTGATGAAGGAGTTCAGTAGCGCTGCTGTTTGCTGCCAACAGCTGCTACTGCCTGGTCTCCGCTTGTTTCTGCTGTCACAGCTGCAAGGGGTACTGCAAAGTGAAGGGACTTCAAAGGCACGAATGCAGCCTTGGGTCCTGCCGCTGCTATTGCTGCTGCCGCTGCGGTTGTTGCTGCTCCTGATACTTGTGCTGTCGCTGCCGTTCCTACTCTCTTGTTTGCATTTGGGAGGTTGGCAAAGTTCGTCGTTCTGTCCTCGGCAGCCATTTTGTCCCTGCACTTGATGCAGTTGTGCTGCACATTGCTGATCTCGCTGCATTATTTGCTGCTGTTGTGCAGGCGATGGCTGCTGCTGCCTTATCGACGGCTCCTTGAGCAGCAAAGTCTCGAGCTTCTCAGGCAGCAGCACGCCGATGTCTCGGTGCAGCGGCGCAGCAGCAGTAGCAAAGTCATCCAAAGCCTGCCACCGCCATGCCTCCAGTCCCAGCATCTCCTGCTGCTGCTGAGCCTGCTGCCTATCTACTCCTATCTGTTCCCGCTGCACCGTTCTTGAGGCGGTTTGCTTGTCTGTCTCAAGATCACGCCCATTCATGGCAGAAGCACTCGCAGCAACAATGTCAGCATCCACAGCACACGGAATCCCCGATGCTCCTGATGGGTTTAGCTCGTGGCGGTGCAGCTGACGCTGCACAGATGGAATGAAACAGCTGCCTTCCGGGAACGGGGAGAGTTTTTGCAGCAACTCTAGTGCTCTGACGTGCAGCCCTGCTGATGCAGAATGTGTTATTGCTCTTCTATGAGCCTCCGCAGCTACTTTGGCTGCTTTCGCCTCCGATGGTGCGGCTCCCTTTCCAATATCCCTGCATGCAGAGTGTGTCTTCGGCTGTGCCCCATTCTCTCTTTCGTCTACCCTGCCGATCGTGCTGCATCCGCCACTGCTGCTTCTGTTTCTGCAATTGACGATATCCATGGTGTCTGTGCAACTCGATGTGTGTCGCCTATAGCTGCTACCGTACTCACTGCTACAGCACTCGCTTTTTTTGCAGTCATCACTGCTGCTGAGCAGGTGCGTGAGCAGGCGCCCTCTTCGGGATTGGCTAGATCGTTTCAGCGTTCTTGTCCAGTGTTCTTGCTGCTTTTCATTCTGATCACGCTGCTGCTGTCGCCGTTGATGCTGCTGCTGCTGCCGCCGCTGCAGCTGCTGCTTCTCCGTTTTCTCACTTCCCTGCGGCAGAAACGTCAGTTCGCCTGACTGCTGTAGCGGTTTCAGCATCTCTTCCATAAAGTATGGCGCCAGGACCTGCTGCGGATCCTGATCTGCTGCTGGAGGGTAAAAACCCCCAGCAGCAGCCCAGCATTCTGCACAGGGCATTTCGCACCTCCAGAGTCGCGTCTGCTAAGCGGCTTGCCGGTTCTGTTTGGCTGCTCCAGGAGTCGCAGAAGCCACAAATGCTCTCAACGAAAGCAGCAGGGAGAACCAAAAACGGGAGACTGTCGTCTGAGGCTGGTATGTTTATGTGTTGCCCCTCTCTTTGCTGCTTTTCCTGAACGAGCAGATGCAGAGCGAAGGCAGGCACGAAAGCGCCCCTTCCACTACCCTGCCTGGCTGATGGCCTTAGACAAGCTCCTCTGCCCTCCCATACAAAAAGAAAGGCAGGGGGAAACCACAGCTAGGCGGTGGTTAATTGACGGGTGGAGTGGCCCCCACTGGGCGCCAGCAGAAGTACACTCGAAGCAACTCCAAAGGGGATGTGTAATCCTTTATGGCCCCATTGGGCCGCTAAAAATGTATAATTTAGGACTTTACTCTTAGGTTCTCATTTTGTAGCCACCAAAAACAAGAAGAGCGGAGAGCGAGGGCCCCCAAGGGCCCCCGGTTGACACCAGGCGGCTGAGGGGATAAGGAAGGAATTCACAGTTCACGTACTTGAGCAGCCTTCTGCAGGATTTACCTCCACTAAGAAGAAAAAGCTGAGGCCATTAGGTAGGCTCTCTGAAACGAGTGCGAGCGGCTGACGGTTCAGAACAAAGAAGTACACGCAAAGGAGCACAGCTTCTTGTACGTGGCTGTGCTGTAGTGGGTGAGGGGGGCTGGCTATTTAGGGCAAGCATATGAAGCTCTCCATGGAGGATTACAGCGCATTTATTTAAGTTCTGTATGTTCTTGAGCGGCAAGTTAGACCGATGAACCCCAGTGGTTCCTGCACTGGGCGGCCTTTGTCTGGACGGGTCTCGGGGTTCGATCTGCACCAACACACAGGGCACCATCCCTGAAACCAACGTTTCTATGTCAAAAACAACAATGATATTCTAAATCCGCAGAGCGGATGCCTTTCCTGGTGGGGGAGTATGTGTAAGAATCAACGGGACTCAAAGCGCCCTGTTGTATAGATCTCTGGTCGTACTCCTGTCGGGGATCGTCGGGTTGCCGAACTGCACCCATATGTCCCACTAGTGTGCAGCGAGACTCGTCGAGTTGCAGCATTTGCTCCGGCTCAATGTCAGACACGGGGGAAGCGCCTACGGGTGTGCAGGCGGCCGAGTCGAGAGACGAGGAAGTATATCGTCGCACTTTTTTTGAGTTTACTTGACTCTAAAAGATACACTTTCTATTTTCCCCGGCAAATTTAGAGCCGTATAGGGGCTGCTGCTGCAATCGTGATGACTATCTTCGCTTACCCGCTATTCAGCACTTTAGTTGGTGCTCCATTAGCTCTCCTTTTTTTCCGGCCGAGTTGCGCAGGGACGGGGACAGGAAGCCGTTGAAGGAAAAGTTGAGCCGACAAATGAAAAAGAACGGAAGAAGCGTCACCCAAAAAAGAGCAAGCAGTTGCAACCCGACGGCTCTCCAATTGTTGACTCTGCGAAACCAACGAAAAAAAGTACAATGCAGGCGGAAGGAGGGGCGCAAGGCTCCGCGCCTGCCAAATCCGAAAACGATCCGAGAAGCGAAACTTCAGAAAGGAGGAAAAAAAAGAAAAGAGCTGTAGTTGTTGCTGTGGAAGAAGAAGAAGGCAGCCAACACCCAGCAGACTTCTCCCAACCTGCTGCCAGCAACAAGGCCCGCAAATCAACTCTCCTTATGTGTGACAATGCAGCAGCAGTTGCCTTGGGTAATCTTCTGGCCATACAGGTGGGGCTTGTTCAAAGATATCAATAATCATCCATGGTTCGCGGGAGAAAAACGCACGGATTGCATCAGTATGTACCGTGCAGCCACAATGCCAGGAATCCAGTAGCTAGGCTGCAGGCTGCTTTACTTAGATACAAGTCTTCTAGTACAGGCTAAGCAATGAGCATGGGCGTCTTGAATTGGGGACGATATAAGGAGGCTTCTAGAAAGCACTAGGCAGTTGTGCTGGGAGCAGGACGCATGAAGTGCCTCTCCACCCACTGACCAAGTCGTTCTCCGATATTTGCTACACCGTTTTCCAGTGTATTTCAATTGCTTCTGTTGCCGCACTGCAGCGAGGGGTTTCACCGAAGGTTGAGGGAGAAGAGGAAGTCGATGAAGCTCAATGGGTTGAAGATATTGAAGACGAGGAACTTGGCCAAATCCTAGGTATCTTTTGCACGGCGCAAATGCTAGTTACCTACGTCTTGCCCATTGCTGCGCATGGCGGGAAACATGAGAAATACTAATCCCAAACAGATGCCACGCAATAGAGAACAATTTGAACGAAAGCAACACGTCGCTAAATCCGCCGGTCCAACGATTATACGATCCCTGCCTAGAGTGATTAAATTTGCATTTTGCTCGAGCAGCCAAGGCAAAAGCTTCCGAACAAAGAGTAGCGGAGCTGAGGAAAGCGATTTCTGAAACCGCATCTCTGGCCCTTGATAGCTACTTTGATGAACTTACGGTATGCCAGCACGGCAGCAAAGCTGCAAGCTCACCTCTCCCCTTTACAGCAAAGCACCCCCTGATTGACTCTGCAAGCACGTGGATGATGCATAGGATACTCGTAGAGCTTTCCCACACTTCCTGAATAGCCAATCATTCACAGTGTTAAGAAGCAGGGAGCTTGAATGGCCAGGGCAGATGAGAAATTATGTACCACTTCTTACCAACATGAAAAACGTACCTTTCGAATAATAGTACCGTTGATGAAGAATGCCCCTCAAGTTTGGTTGCGTGGGTGGTGGCCGTTTGGGTCCAGACGATAACGCAAGATAAATCCCTCACAATTGGGACCGCAGATGAGGACAGAGTTATTGCAGTTGAACAAAAAGCAGCACAGGAAAACTTAGCAGCGTGTGTAGTTCAACAGAAGGAGCTACAACAGCAACAACAGCGGCTTCTACTCTATGAACAAGTAGTCCGCAAAAAGATTTTAGATGAGCTAGAGTGGCGGGAGGAAAAGCTCAAAGTGCTCAAGCGTCAGGCAGCCAAGCAGGACCTCAACAGACAGGTACCATGTGAAATAATTCTATAACATTAGAGCAGAACGGAGACTAAGGCCTCCTTTGCTGCTTGAGGAAGCAGATGCATTCTTAGCCCCTGTTATCTTCCGTGCTAACCAGTGGCCTGGTGCAATCATGTGTGCTCCATCCGTTTCTCGCTCAGTGCGCCACTGCATCGCATGCTTCTCGTCAGATCCGGTTCCAACTCTGTCTCAGCATATTCGGTACGCTTCTGAGGTATCAGTTCACTGTATTCTCCTTTGAATCTGCGTCTGCATGTTGCTGCGCCCAGGACCATCTTGTGAAGTTGGTGCGGGAATGCGAATGCCGAATGGAAGCTGTAATGGGACGTCGTAAGGCCCGTTTATCCATTGTTTATGGCCTCCTAAAAAAGGAAGGGGAATACACCGCAGTTTCGAAGAGAATGGACGACGCCAAGTCCAACGAAAGAAACAACTTTATTCCTATGGGTACGCATTAATGGAGGAGGCAGCTTCGCCTGAATGAGAGGCAGATGCAATGTGCCGAAATTAAGTTGAATCTTTCTTACTCCGTTCCCTCTGCATCAGCCGCGCATAGGACTCACTCCAGAGTAATGGTTGAGACATGGGCTAGTGCTTCGCGCTGCGGACAAACCGCAGCTGCGTATTGCATATTATTGGAGAGGTCAACTTCTACTGGGAATTTACTTTACTAAAATTTGTCAACTCGTCGACGTTACATGCATGCCATTCAACGAATTCTGGACATTCAATTGAAACATTTCATGCAACAACTGCACTCTGTCTTCAGGCAAATCGTACCGTGTTGAATGGCTGCGGGCACCTCAACCCCTGAAGCTACAGATAGATCTCTGCCGGGCCCTCAAGGACAAAGTTCCAGCTGGAAGATATCTCATTTCTGTGTCTATATGGACGCGCATGGGTGGGCTGCATTGAAGTTTTATAGTACGAAGGGTGGTCATAATACCCAGAGGGTCGCTTTTTAGCCTTTGGAACGTTGCGGACTTTTTGCATGAGTAGGAGGCACGCGTCTCCGCTGGAGCGGATTGCCCACTATCGAAGAGAAGCTCCTGCGAGACGCGGCTGCGAGAAAGCAAAGTAAAGTATCCCTCCCGGTGCTGTCGACTGCCGGCAACGAATCTGCAGAAAGTGAATCATTTGCGGGAATGGCCGCAGCCGTCACCCAATCTGTGGAATTTGAAGCAAACTTCAAAGACGAATGCTTGAGGCAAGAATCACACCCCCGCACATTCTGTCATGAATAGGACTTAGAGAAAACTTGACACTCGTTTCTGCATTCAACAGGGTTCCGGAGTTTGCTGCTCGGTAACTTCCGAGGATACACTTTGTATGGTACATTCTTCCACAAATAATCAAGATTTGTGTAGCACGCTTTGATCGGTAATTCAGATTCGACCAGACTCTCGAACTAGCCTGCCCCTCGGAGACAGACGTAGAACCTGACATGTGTCTAGTATTCGAGCTGTTTCTGCTTCGCGGCCAGAAATCCCCCGTTGATAAGGCAAGTCGATTAATGCCAGAGGCCCCAAATTGCTGCTCGTAATGTTCCACTGTGCTGACTATACGACTCTACTGTCCTAAAGTCGGTTAAGCTCTGATTGCAAGATGGGCTAGCTGGGTCTGCGGGTTACATCTCAGGTCGTCGGCTGGGGCGCATTTCCTTTGGTAGATTCCGATTTTCGGCTGATCGAAGGAAACTTCAAAGTAAAAATAAATTGTCCCCGCTTTATTGACCCACAGAACAGACTGAAACGACTCGCCAAGGGCGCGCATGCACTTTAATCGCCTTGGGATTTGTCTACCACATTTTCCTGCTGTACATGCAGCCGCACCTATTAGTGGCAGTTCTGTTACTTACCAATTCTCCATCGTTCCGGTTGGAACTTGGACATGTTAGTAGACTTCGGTGCCTAGTGACTGCACACAAAATACAGCAACACCAATGTGTAGGCCTTTCAAAGAACGCACTCTCTTTGACTGGAGACGCATGTTGGCGTTTTTGCTCTAGCACGCAGCTCATTCGGATGGCTCCGTTCAGGTTCCATTATTGCGTGGATCGGTTGACCCGTCAATTCGTCGCTATCTAGATATGGAGCACCTCATGAGCAATCATCTCGATTCTTGGCTGTGTCACTTGTATTTCCGCTGCGAACGACTTCCCCAGTACACAAAGGGGCAAGTTGAATTCGAGCTACAGCTTGAGCATGCGGCGGCTTTACTTGGAGGCAGAAGGCAGGAAAGTGCAAGCGCCAAGTCCCAACAAAGCCATCGTCTTTGGCAAACACATGTCGAGCGCGCAAAGGGTTTGTACTGCCTGAATATATGAGGCGTGAATACAGAGGTCTAAACAAAAAGACACTCTTCAGCGTTCGTTGGCTTCACAAGGTGTGCCCAAGTACTGCGAACTGCTTGGCAACACAACATGTGCATGCCTAATGCCCTTGCCGCCTGTTCAGCGGATGATCTCGTTCAGCAACTCGTTAGCGCACTTCAGGCTTGCGAAGAAATGGCTGACGGTATGAAAGATGCATTGGCCGGTGTATTCAGGCACCGGAAATGTGGACAGTACTTCAGTTTTCAGCAAACCACAGACGCTATTCCCACGCATATTTTTGCTGCTTAGGCAAATATTTGTTGCGCTTCGGGGTAAATGAGTTCTGCAGCATCTTCAACAATTGTATCCAAGGATGGTGTGCGCGCATGGCGCCATAGAGATGCTCCGTCAGCTTTGCAGTCTACTCCGGATATAAATGCCCTTCAAGATTACGGCTACTCAGGTTTTCCCTCTTCCTAGTGTCACACTACGTAACGTCGTTTCGGCTTATCCGAACAGTGTATTTAAACTAGACAGCACAAAACGGGCCTCTCTAGTCCCTCTACTGGGCACGCCTTTGCCTGCGCTCTTAGCGCCACACGGCATTAGCTCCTGTTATGCTATGCGCTATGCGTGAAGTGTACTGCGGCACCACCGTCTCCCACCCCAGTGAAGCCTCTCGAAAGCTGAAGTATTTGAAGAGCTCGCTGTTGGACGACTTCCGGCTCTCTTTTAACAAAAAAGAAATTGGTACCACATAGTTACCTTGATTAGCGTGGGACGCTAACTCTACTGAGTCTCCAGAACAAAGCATTTAGCTACAGTAAACGAAGCGAAGCAGCTGGAGCTGGGGAAGCTAGTCCCCCTCCATTCTCAGTTATACGGCGGCATAAGCAGGTGTTTTGGGATGATCTTGTACAAATAAAACCAGGCTGCTATACAGATCCCAGCAGAACATGTGATCCCACTTCCCGAGGCTTCAGCATTCATGTGTATTTCTTTTCCACAGGCAAGGCGGCATGCACCATAATTTGTGCCGCCCTTGCAGTTTGGTGCTGCAGCCTTACCTTTATGCTAGGAGTGTGGCTGTACCTGCGTTCCGCTAAAGTCCCAGTTCATAATGTTCAGTTCAGTGCCTTCTACGTCCGACTAGATTTCGTGCAGGTGGGTGCCAGCCTAGTGTCCTCCGTCGTATACAAAGTGCCATTAAAGGCCAACCTGGAACACCTGTTGCCTTAGTGTCTAATGCGTTACACAGGAACTGCTCTCTCTAGGTCAGACTATCGGCGTCACAGTGGCGGGCCCTCTTGCGTGTCTGATTGCCTTTCTTCTCGTCTCAATTACCGTGCATGCCGCCAATATCGCACTGGGTAGACAGCCAACTCCAGGTACTGTTGGAAGCTTTGGGTTGGTTGTTATCCCGTAGATGGTCCATGAATCCCCAAGGACTAATATGCTCATGCCGTATCAGAAGGCACTGCGCTGCAGTCTGTGCCTTCTCGTTTGCTGCAGTTTATCAATTTTGTAGTGCACTTGGGGCCGCCACTGCTCTCAATCCTGTTCTTATGGCCGTTATTGAGGGACTGAGCTCAAATCTGAGTGGCATTTCCTTCGTGCTTTCTAACTACTACATCAGGGATGTCAATAATGGCACACTTGGAGTCATGATTGCTCTCCTTATTGACTTGGCGTTCATTGGGTGTAGTATGTTAGTACGTCATCTCTGACTGCTAGGCACTAGGCGGTCCAACCACTCTTCCATGTGGAAATATGTTATCAGAAACCGCCGTATACCATGTACACTTCCCATGCGCTTTCCACTTCCAACCTAGGTAGTTTAAATGGCCACTAGCGAGGAAGGTAGGGGAAAGCTCACGAGAGCCTAGTATTTGGGATTTCTTTCATGTGCAGGCATACTACAGCTACGCAATTTCGGTTCATCACCATGGGCAAGTGAAGGATACGCACAGGAGACTTACAGGGGATGCATCACTGTTTCGCTTGCCACTAGATACTGAGGTTTCGGAGCGGTACTTGATGGGGTGCTTAGAAAGTGCCAGGCAGTACAGGGGTCCCGAAGGGGAAGTGAGAAAGATCCATACAATTGGGCACCCAAGTCGGTTGAAGCGACACACCATAAATTGCAAATTTTCACATTTCTCTCTAAGCCCTTCACTTTTCTCCCCGCAGCTCTGCAGTGCAAGCCATGAGCCAGCACATTCTCTGGAATCGGGTGATGTGATGCCGGCAGTCGCGGAACTTGATCAAGACTCAAAAGGAAATATAGCACGAAGGCGCTGCTATCGATTAGGAAACTGGCATCGAGTCGCCTCTGAAGTGGTTCAGGTGGCGATATATACCGTGAATTCAAGGGCTGGAACTCAGACACTGCACAGGCAGTTTCTGGTGTAAGCAAGGTCGCATTTTCAAACAAGCTAGGAAAGTCACAGGATTCCACTGCCCCTTTCTACCCTCCAAACTACTAGCATATTGTTGCATACTGAAAGGTTGGTGCGTGGTATTGTCGAAGGCACCCTGACGGCACTATTGTGGAAGTCGTTGGAAGCCTTCCAGAGCGGCAGTACCCATCACAGGGAGCAGTTGATCATATCCAATCTTCAAAGGAGCCAAATGAAGAGGGTGTTCCTCCAGATCGGGAAAACAATGCATCATGATGCCGTAGTGTTGGTACACCTTTAAATGTATTCGAGGGGAACACTCTATCTGCCACACCAGAAAAGGAACGCCACCCTCTGCTTGCGCAGGGTGGGCATAGGCCCATTTTGAATGAGGCCGTTGGAGTTTCTAAATTGTCTAAATCGTCTTCCAGAATCTAGTGACTTTCGACTAACTAAGAATAGGCAATGACTCCGGGACCAGCAATTCGGCGCATAGGGTCTCCATGGCGGGATCTGTGATATATGCGAGTAGCACTTTCCTTTTAAACATAAAAGTCACTAATTGACCTTTTTTCTTACCTGCAGAGGCCTACACCACTCTTCCAACAGGTGTAGAACCCTCCCTGTCAGCCTCAGCGAGGGCAGGCGTACCACTCACAAAGCTCCAGCACATCAACCATTACTCCTAATACGGTCTTGGAAGTGTCGATTTCGAACTGGGGAAGGGCTTGAGGGGAGCATACACAGTGAAACCGAAAATGATTTGTTTCGGCTCTACAATACGCGTTCTTCCTAAATAATATCAAAACACTGACTGAGACGATCTGCAGCACATCATCCGCCCCATTACAACGTTACAACGCCTCTCATTGAGTCATTACTGTGTTTTAGAATCAGAGAGTCTCTGATGTGAGTCGTTGGACTGTATGAAACGTTGCCCCGATTGAGACGTTCATAGCTGCCAATTCAGAGAACCTCTCACGCAGCGGCCGGTTGCAGACTGGGTTTGTGGGCCCTGCAGGTACATGTCAGGCTAGAGAACGTGCTAGCAGGAAGTTTCGCCGCCCGGTGGCGCTGTACCCACAGCCAATGCACATCCTCCTGAAATCCAGAAAGAAAAGGTTATCTTGTATGCTGTATGTCAAACCTTTTGGCCTTAAGCCCTCCTGAACCCCATGGCGACGCCCCAAGGGAAGAATTGGAATCACATGGGGGCGCCACGCTTTGCTAGTAGTGGTATTTCATACAATTGGCCTGCACGTTGCCGAATCGGCGAATATTCTTTGATGAAAAAGAGATTCTCAACGTTGTGGAGGAAGCCCCTGACTTGCAGGCAAGGTTAGACTCTCCCCGTTGAGTCGAACGGGAGAAAATCGAGCAAGTTGCCTCAAAGGGCAACCAAGGTGCTTGGTTGCACCGGGAAGGGCCAGAACTGAAAACCGAATCGTCTAAAGGCGTGAAGCTCTTGTATTTAATGCCATGTTGCTGTATTTAATGTCAATCTCTCATACAAACGGCAGGGAGCATTCGAGGGGCGAAACTCAGGTGCGTGAGGGCGGCGCAGAACCATTTGCGGCCATGCGGCCTTGTGGCTAGCTCCTCCTAAAGGATGCACCTTCTTTGGATTCGTTGCGTGGCTACTCGTAGGCGTGAAGGCAGCCGCCATCACTCCGTCATGGGTCATTGCATTATTTCCTGCCTGAGCCATGTTGAGCCAGCCTCTTCTTTTTGAAGATTAAACTGGGGAAGGGATCTATTATCCTGGACGTGTATTGGGGCCCTCTCCCCAATGTGGCTCAAGGAATGATTCGAGTTGTACTCTCGAATTACAAGTCTGGCTGGTCCCAGTACTTAACGAGGTTCAGGTGCTTCAGCATATCCTGTTGAACGTTATCGGGGAGCACGCGTTTGTCGCCGCAGATGGGGGCGAAGCGGATATAACGTAGCATGGCGAAATTCATCATTTGGGCAGCGCAGTTAAACGTGCACAGGAAAATCATTGCTAAGTCATGAAAGAGATTGTAGCCTTTCTTTATGCTTCCGTAGAAGCGCGACTGTGCCTGCGTCAACCATATGGAGGCTACCTCCACAACGTCCATGGAGAACATGAACAGCACCCTGAAGCGGCCCATCGTATCCCTGAAAAGGCCGTGCTGCAAGCGCATGCGCAGGCGTCAAAACAGTATCGGTATAATCATATTAGTGAGTGTCGAACAGGATGTGTGGCATGAATTGGACACTAACGATTCCCGCCGGATGGCGAAAGAGGTGTGTTTGAGTTGGCCTATCAAGGCTAGCTTAGCATGGCACTGGGAAAGGTTAAATGCGCCACCGGCACTTGAAGCTACCCTAAATTTGATATGTCCTAACCTCTTGATACGATGGTAGAAGCCCAACGGTCGAATGCTGAGTGAATAGTTCAGTGATAACGAAGACTGTTGAAGAAACGAGCTTTTGAAGGATTCTTGGCCAGCAGCGGTTGAAGATAAGGGACTGGATCTCCTTCACGACTTTTGAAAGCCAAACGGCATTAATGCGGCGAAACACCGATTCGCCTGACGGTCGTTGAGGCTCTTCAGCTCCTGTCACCATCTGGGAACCGCTCCGAATTTTGTGCGTCTTTGGTTTCGGTGGCACGTGACGAATTATACAGCATTCGTTAGCAAAGCAGTATCGTACTTCAAGGCCATCAAACTTTGCACCTTGCCCATTTTGTGCCTCAGTCTTTGAAGCGGCCAGCTTTTTCTTCCAGTGCTCCACTGGGTGCGTATATCGGCTGAAGTCTTTTGCTTTCCAGTGTCGCCAGTCGCGACGTAGATTGAGAACAAAATGGGTCCACATGTCACTGAACAGACTTCCTACAAAGCCTCTTGTATGTTTTCCCTTTTGCACTGCGACTGTCGAAAGTGCACTTGCCCAATCAGAAGCTGTGGGCTTGCGTGCATTGACAAGCCTGATTGTCTTTCGAAACGAAATGTTCTCTTCTGAAGATTCCGGCGAGGGTTCCTCATAAACATTGTGGCTATAATGTTGCCTCCTCTCGTTCATTCCAAAGATTATCTCGGTTCGCCACACAGTTGTTGCCAAAAATTTGGTCAAGAAGAACGGCTTGACGATAAAAAACTTGAAAAGCCAGACTAGGAGCTTTTTGATTCTGCTCCAGACAGTGGACTCTTCGGTAGTAGCGCCTTCAATGACTAGTAGCACTCTTCTTTCCATATAAGCGTACCCAAAGTGAAAGTACGAGAAGGCAAAATCCTTGAAAACCATCAGCAGGTAAAGAAAAATACTAGAAGCCTTCATCAGCACCGTCCGGATGAGCAAGTATCTCCACGAGTCCCAGACAATGGCAAAGCAGCAGAGGATTTTGTCGAACTCAAGGGGGTCAGGTCCATCCGGACGTATTGGGACATGGGGTTGGCTGGGTGGAATGTAGTCAACCGAGGCTACAATGGGCGCCAGAATACGGCTTTGGCGAGCTGCAGCGCTGAATGTGGAAGCTTTTGACCCTAGTCGCGAGCCCCGGCTTCGCTGCTCAAAAGTGCGACCGCTTCGTCGAGTGGCTGCGCTTCCGTTTCTATCTCTCTGGGTACGCTGAACAATTTCTCCGCCACTGAAGTTGTCCTCCATAGGGGTGCCTCTATACTGGCCTTCGGATGACCCCTGCATACTACTGGGAAGCTTTTGATTTCTAGCTTTTCCAAGTCCTAGTCCAGCTGTAAAGTCCGCTGAACTCTGTTTAAGAATATCACTGTTTGACGGCCCCTCCAGCTCTAGAAGGACTCGAACGCCCTCTTCGCTGTCTTGTTGTAAAAACTCTTCAGTGTGCACTTCTTCTACGGAAGGCAATTCCTGACCCGTTTGGTACGAGACGTTGTAGCCGAATTCCACCAGGATATTCGTGGCCTTATGCGTTGCTGGCAAGAAAATAGAACCATAAAAATTTGCAAGAGCCAATTCTCCAATGAAAGAAATTACTGCACTAAGTTGCAGCTGTGCAAATTTGTGCTGCATTGTTTCGAAAAATGGCAAAAATACAGTTCGGTTGAACACGTCTACTCCAAAGAATACAATTCCAGGCAGGTGGAAAATCAGTGCACGCCTGTATTGATCCCTCGTTTTCGCAAGGTACAGACCTAAAGGAATGAGCAAAATAGAGCCAAAAATGAAAGCTGCGTACAAGGGCCAAGTGAAGTGATTAAAGAATGGCAAAACTTCACGGACTCTTGGGAAGGTTTGAACATGATATAAGGCAGCATTGGAAAGGAATTCAATAATGAAGTAACCCACGTACCCTGACATTTCCCTCCAAAAGCCTACATTTCGACCGCCAAGCGTCCAGACTTTCACGTATAACACGTAAGTTACATGAAGCGCAAATTCATTGGCTAAGTACATGTACAATATGTTTTCGACCCGAGCGTAAGCACGGGGCGGGTCGATGCAATTTGGGTCAACTTTCTCCCCATCAGCGTCAAGTGCACACGGCGGAGGAGGTTGATAGTCTGGTATCGGGTTTCCAAGGTCGTCTAAAGGGCAGTCCTTGTAGGCGACCATGTATAGCGCTAAGACCGGATGAAGTGTGCTCAAGAACATACAGAACATGTAGCAGAGGCGACGATCCACACGGCGGATTCTTGCCGCTACCTGACTCCAACAAGCAAAAAGGTAGTTTTCTGCAGGTGCATTCGCTTCATCTGGGCCCTTCACCAGAGCTTGCTTTTGCGATTCCGTTTTGCCAGAGCCACCGTCGCGATCTGGCGGGATAGCAACAAGTGTAGCCGGTCCCTCCCCTTCCTGCCCATCCATTTTGTCCAGTTATACCTTTTGCGTCTCTATGTGAGGTCGCTGAGGAAACGGGAACGCATGGCTACGTACGCAGGCTCTGCCAGGGCACGGTGGGGTCACCGCCCTCGCGCCCAAGGGCAAACGCTTCAGTATATATCCTACCAATGAGAGCAGAAATCTCACCGAATTTCCAGCACAAAAGGAATGTTTTGGCTATGTATATCATGGAAATGCATGGGTAGGCTGGGGTTTGCTAAAGCCCCGCTAATGGCGCTGAACGGTAGATACCGCACACCAGTGCTGCTGCTGATCGTTAATTGCATGCCTTCTGGCTCCTTGTGAAGCCCAGAGCTCACATATTATCATGACGGTTTTGGCAATTGTGCATTGTTGGTAGATGCAGTCATCGTGACAGATTGCCGAATAGGCATGAAGGTATGCGATGGCATGCAGTCTGGTTGCGTTTGCTTAAGGTCTTAGTTGGAAGAACGTGCGTGGGTTTCGGGAGAATTTCCTGCTCTACGTGGGAATGCTCAATCAGCTTGGGGCCTCCTTGCGAGTTTTCGCCTAAGGAGTCGTCTACAGTTGCTGTTTCGACGGTCTCAATACTGTTTTGGGGCAAAGATTGAATTGTACTCAGTTAATCCTTGGGTTGTGCCTCTACTTTTGTATCCTCTGTTAACTTCTTAACTAAAAGTGTTGATAGTCTCTCTACGCTTACTTTTTGTTCAGGCTGAAAGTGGGCTGCGCTGAGTGAGCATCAGGTGTTGCTCTTCGCCTGTGACGCATCAGCCGCTCTTGAAAACTTCGGGATTTACGTCGCATTCCCCCAAATTGAACAGTTTTGTTTACATCATACGAATGGATTGTTGCGCTTATTGGGGCTGTCGCTGAAGGGCCTTACTGGCCAGGTCAACTGCTCGAGGCAGCAGCAGGCTTTCTGAGCATAAGACGCCCTTCATGCAAACTCCCCTGCACAGGACCAGTTGCGCATCAAGCATATCATCAAGACAAGGCGGCGATGTACATAATTTGTTTCTCCATTCCTAAGGGGTGCCAAGGTTCGGCAATTCGACAAAATTTGGAAGCTTTTCGTGGCATTTCTCCCAGGGACAAATAAATGCTCAGCTGGTAGTGCAGCCTTGAGACAACGGCAGGCGAGTCGCATTGCTCCCTCGAGGAGAGCGTATAAACAAATTGTTTGCGGTGGAGTTTACCGAAGCCAACTTATGCACGTACTTACTTTGCAACAGGATTCTCGAAAACTCCATGGTGAATAACAGCAACCAACAGCAGATGTGCATGTATGCTCTCGGGATTATTGCTGTGCAAAGGCGTGCATGTGCAACACGCTTGTACGGTGGCCCTTTCAAACATTCCAGCTCCCACTACCGTGATAGTGCGTTCATCTGTACGCATGGCCTAGCCTCGTTGGAGGCATTCTACGCGGCCCAGTTCACCGTGTTACCTCATTCATGTATGCAGTTGGCTTAGCCCGGAGACATTCTTGCAAGCTTTGCATCGCGCCCATAATCCTACCCAAAGGATGCAAGATGAGTCAAGACTCCTGAAAAACAGTATGGGTTGGGGAATGACTTGATACAGCGAAAAAGAGAAATTCCGGTTTTGACGAATGCTGGGCACAGGACCTCTCGGACAAGGCAAGCGGCAGCATTTGCAGCAAGTAAACAACGAAGCACGCACGTTCAGCATCGTGAACCTGTTCGGAAGAGAACAGGTACAGTTGAGGGTTCCGGATTAGGGAAAACGTCCTATGAAGTGTCAAGACATATATTGCCTACTATTTCTGGTGGTCCACAACCAACATTTAATTATTGTAGCATGGGAGAAGGGCCCCCCCGTACAAGAATTGAATGTTGGCTATGATTCTGACTGGCTTTGTATGCATCCCCTCTACTTCCCCTACGTTCCATTTTCATTGACTAAAAAGGCTGGCACACTAGGCTGCCAACAGTGAGAACTTACGAAATTTTGGGGAAACGCTCAGCTGAAAGGCAGATGGAAGCTGTTTACGTCGGAAGATGCCACCCACCCTGTTACCCAAATTAGCTTGTGAACTGGCACGTTGGGTGGCCGGCTTTTGTGTAGTGCAGCATCCAGCCACTCATGCTGCCAGCAAGCCATACGAAAGTTCCACCCCGCAACGAACACGGCTCATGAATTGCCGCGAGGCTTGGCAAGGCAGTCGCTCGCACCCCTTCTATACCATTCAATACCAGCACTTTTCAATTGATGGGTTCCACGCCGGATGCATAGAATGGTGTTATCGAGTCTCATCGCAAGCCTTTTTCTCGAAATCTGCTCAGCAAGCGTAGGGGTCACTTCCAACCCCCCTCCGTCAGCCATTCAGTTGCTGTGTTCACGTAACAGCTACTAGCCTCTACAAACGCCACACACGAACTGAACGGACTTTGTGCAAAGAGTCAAATATTGCATGTATTTTTCACAAATCGGCGTTGTTACTGTTGTGGCGAGCTATTCCTATATCAGTGAAGCAGCACTAAGCAGTACGCAGCGTCCAGTCATCCATAGCCGAGCGCGTAAAGGGCGTACCAAAATTTAAAGTAGAATAAACAAAGTAATTCTACTTTCAGGTGCAGGGTTCCCATTTGATCTCCGTAAATATAGCTGTCTCCGCTCACCCCTTTCAACCGCAAGCCATGGGTACTGGTCATGCCAAGTTCGCATACTGCAACGGCGTATGCAACTGCCTTTGATTTCAGTAGCAAGGTACTCAATCAATTTTTTATGTGGAGAAGATCTTTTTGTTTGTAGTTCTCGCTGTTCTTCGACGCGGATGCAACAACACTTTTGCGTGTCGCTGCAGGACGCGTGTGGCTCGGTGACCAAAGGAGATGGATTAACCTGCAGGTATCACACGAGCATACCGTTGCACATCAACCTGTAACCACCTTATCCTAGAGCTTGCAACTAGGGCGCAGTGATAAGACAAGGGGGGTTCTGCGTCGGAATGCTAAACAGGCAAACTGCCCGATACGCGCTATTTTAAGACAGCCTAAAAGCATTTTAGGACAGCCTCCAACCAATCTTGTGCCGAAGCTCTTAGTCCATAGAAATGTATTTCTCAGGGAACTGCAGCTACAAGTGCAATGTTTATCCACTGATTGTGCAGGGAGACCGGCTGCCTGCGCTTCACGTGCAGCGGTCTATATACAGCGGTTTAATAAACAGCTATACCCTGAATTAGCCAGATACCTGTACGGCAGTACACGAAACTGAGTGCGTGAATCAATGGGAGACAATTTTACCATAGGATATGAGCATTGCACACTGCTCACGACAGACTAAGTCCGCAGTCCTATTGCTGACATTCCTAAGGGTCACCTCCTGTCTAAGTGCCTAGATTTCGGTAATAAAAATTGATCCCTAAGACAAAGGCGCTCTTGGTAACTTTATTAGGATGCAGTAATACGTAGGGCAGCCCAAAATTGGCACGATGTGGGAAATCCTCCACTAAAGTTTTGATATTCAAAAGTGCCTTCGGCGTGGCCGTGTTGGCCCATGCGTAAGGGCTTCGACGGATCGTATTTGTACTTGACGAGGGAGAGCGCCAGTTGGTAACATTATATCACCTAGTTGTTGTTGATATCCTCGCGCTTTCACCATTTGTCGTAAACGAGAGTTCATGTCCCTCGAACATGTGAGGCGATGTCCTGTATAGTGCGTGCCCTCGTCAAGGCGGTAGCGTTGCCTGTAAAGTTGACGGCGAAGGTTTTAGGAAAAGTAAGCAGAGCAGCAGCCAAGGCGGGGGTAAGAGTTGGAAAATCTTGTGGGAAATTTGGAGCGAAGGCCTGCAAGAAGTGCCAAAGAAATTCTGCCCGTACCTGCAAGGCTCTGGGAAGGCGTTCTCAGAAGGCATGTAGGAAGTTGGCTAGAAACGCCAACAGCAAGCGCTGTGCAAGGAAATGCCCAAAGTGTTGTGCTCCGCTGCAGCGTTGTTCACACACGGCAACGGGGAAAAAGTGCAGCAACCTCTGCACGAAGTGTGTGGTCAAGCGCTTCAAGTGTAATGCCAGCTTTAAAAAGCCAAACTGTTTACGTCAGATCGGCCTGAGAACACAAACATGCCGCAACCGTGACAGGCACAGAGCACGGCACGGTCACTCACCCAGGCTTCGAGACGGGAATGGCCGTCAAAAACTCAACAGCAGCAACCGGAAGAAAGGCAGCGAGGGAAGGGCGACGAAGCCTGTAGGTCACTCCTATCCTCCCCTACACAGAAGTGCAGACGAAGGCTCAAACGACCAACAAGGTAAAACCCGCCGAAAACGCCGCACGTCCCCTAGGACGACCAAGAGGCCTCAGCCTCGTAGCAGTGCCTCAGAAAGTGCCTCCTGCAAAAGCGTTATGGAGGTTCAACATTCTGGAATGAAACACGAACACCACAAGGAAGTAACTAGGCACAGAAAAGGAAAGTCACAGGAGCGAAAAGGAGGCGAATCGAGAACCTGCGTGGCAGCGAACACTGCGAAGATTCTTGTAAACAAGAAAATGTCGGCAGTGTCACAAGAGAAACATGGCGATGGGCCAGAAAAACAGTCGATGGCAAAACTGGAAAGTAAGGGGGAAAAGTCCAAACCCGGTTCTCAAGCATTTGCAGAAATTCTCACAAAGGAAATGCATGCAACCCGAGAAGATCCCCAAACCAGAGGGGAAAATGAAGCCGATATTACACGTCCGCACAAAACAAAGTGGCAAAAAAAGAATCCAAATGCAAATCTCCCTTCGCACCGAAGCAAAGGCAGGGAACCGGCGCATTCAAATGAAGATGCAAGACATGTTTCTGGATTCAACAGCGCACAAGGCATCAAGCACAAAGAGCATCAGAACGCGAAATTGCATGAACAACCAGAGAAGAGGCCCAAGAAAAAGCCGGGAGCCGTTGTGCAAGAATACGCCTTATCTGAGGCGCATTTGCTTCATGGGCAAGCGAGCCTGCAAGACAAACGTAAGAGGAGCTCACGCCTGCTTTGATATATGACTAATGGGGGAAGGCATAGAAGCAGTACCAGTTGAAAGTCATTTCGCTGCTAAAACCTTTCCAGAACCAAGTTGTGCGCAATCTTCTGTTTCAATTTGCAGATTTAGCTAAAGGAACCAGAGGCCAAGATAAGGAGCATGGTGAAGAACTTTTTGGGGTTGCGAGAGGAGAGCGGTCTTCAGAGGAGAAAAACCGCAAGGACCCAGCAGGCATGCCTAAGGTGGCCCAAGAGATGGAATGCTCCATAAAAGACGGTAGTTCAAAGCAACGCACTGCGCGGTGGCAGGAGAAAAGGCAGTCAGAAGATGGCAAGCCGCCTACAAGAATGGATGCTACAAAATGCATGGACTCACCACCAGCTGAAGTGACGGAAGAAAGTCAAAAGAATAGGAGCCATACGCAGAGTTTCGACGCAGGAAAAAACATAGTGGGCAGGCGTACGGCAGAGGCGAGAAGGGCAGAAGTTTCAAAAAGCTCCAGGAAGCATCTACAATGCGAAAAACCCACTTCAAATCAACTTCCCGGGACCGACGGGGAGCTGGAGAAAGACGCCGTTTTTGTACAATGCAACAGTGCAACAAGACTGCCAGCAGCAGCCAGGGCAACTGACCCAATCTCCAGCAGCGACAAGAAAACAAAATGCCAGCAGATTGTCAACGAGCGTCTAGCTGAGATTAGGTCTGCTGAACAAAGCTTCACATTTGGTTGCCAAAACTGCGACTCTGACTTCTGCGAAGACAAGCAGCTGACAGATCAAACAACGCTGTTCGGCATCGAATGCAGGCTTCTTCCCGAGTCTGCTTGTTCAGCAGAGTGGAAACGTTTTGCATGAGTGCACGAAACCTCTTTTTATTTCTACGACAGCTGCAACAACAGTATTCCAAACTTTTAAAATTGCCAGATTTATATCACAACTCAGCTGCCCTTCCCAATCTAAAATTTATTTTCCCAGTCCAAAAATAACCTGACAAGCCGTAACCCAAATTGTTTTGTTGCGAGGAACCTCGCGTCAGTCAAAAATAAACTTGTCCAATGTGCCAGGGAAAAAAACGTCGGGAAAGGGCGTCAGGCGCACTAGCGACTCCATGTACACCCTAACTGACAGGTGACGCTTTCCATTCATGCAGTAGGTAAACGGCCAACAGATGGTGCAGTTCCCCTATAATTCGCCGCATTAACGTACTTTCCTTCACCGTGTATGTTCACTCAAATAACTCCTATCAAACGAGGACAGAAAAGGAATCTCGCAAGGATGTAAGTGCGCCTAAACCTTAGGCTTCTTTTTTGCTTTAGTCTTCCGTGCTGCTGCCTTCTTCAGCGCAATGTACTCTTCGCGCTGGCTGATTCCACGCCAGTATGACTGGAGGAGACATGCTGCAGCTGCCTTATTGATCCTTTCCGCTTCTGCCCTTGCAAAAACTGCCCTCGAGATGCGTGCCGCTTGCTCCTTTCTCTCATTCTCTTCGTCAATTGCTTCTAGAGCTTTGGCCAGAGAAGACAAAGACTCCTCATCAACCTTATTCTTCTCCCGCACCGCTTGAATCTCTACAGAACAACACAATAGAAAGATATGCAGATATATAACGCATGGCCGTCTAGCGCATGCACGCTTCTTAAAATCCTCTAGCTACGGGGCAGAACGAGATTACGCGCAATTCCATCCAGGCTATTTAAAATGTCAACTATATCCCCAGTTGGAGTTACAACTTTCACCTCTCTCTTTCTGAGAAATGTCCTTATCGAGGGCCTTTACAGCATTCTCCAGATCCCTTTTGGCTATCTTCTGGTTGCGAATCTTAGCATCTATTTCCTCCCGTGCTGCTGCTGCCTGATTGGCCCCACGTTTTTCTAATTGGGCCTTCAGTGCAGCAGCATCGCCAGTTTTCCGTTGGAAAGTGCGTCTCTGTTGCGCGTCACGCTTAGCGAACTCCTCGTTCATCTGCCAAAGCCGCTGTTCCGTGGTATTTTGGATATCATGCAAATCCGACTTCAGCTTAGTAATCGCTTCTGATGATCTTGCCGCATGTTTTTGCCTGTCAGTTCGAAGCTGTGCCAACTGCGCCTCCAGCTCGGCACGGCGGTCTTCTGCGGCCTGCTCTTGCTGAAGATACATTTGCAGTAGCTCTTCGTTGGCCTTCTCATCTTCTACCGCCGTTGTCAGGCGTTTCAGCACCACTTCCTGGAGCAGTATGGAAAGGCCAATAGTACGTTGCACTCCTTAAATCGAAGAGTGAGTTTTAGCCCCGTTAGTCTTTGCGGACGATGCAGTGGTACTCCAATTCATTGTCCTTATTTTCACTATACAGATGCGGGGAAGATTGGCCCTCTTATCTACGTGCAAAGCCAACGTGCAGGACTTCCTAGCTTGGCCCCACCTGCATTTCTGCCAAAGCATGTACGAATTTCACTGAGTTAACAGGCTTTGTTTCTTGTAGAGCTCGCAATTCTTGCACTATGTTGGGCACCTCTCTCATTTTCCTGCACAACTCCCTCGTGTTCCTTTCTAGTTGTTCAGCGATTTCCTGTAAATCATCCACGTCTAGTGATGCTACGCCAGCTCCTTCGCCGGTTGCTGTGCTTCCGTGATATAGCTCCTCAAGCCTAGTTTGTTCGATCATGCGTTTCAGGACTTCAGGGCCGAGGATCTCTGCAACATGCCCGGAATCATTTTCCTGGATTGCTTCTAAAACCTGAGGGGCATCAACGCGGTACCGATTTCGGCGCAGATGCACGTAACTCAGTCGCGCGAGATGCCCGTCGTAGTTTCGGGAGTCTGACTACGGCTCCTTCATCCGCCTTGCCGGGGACGGCACTAGGAAAACTGCATCGAGGGAACTACCAAGTTGTTTGCCACTCATGCGTTGTTCGAGAGAAAAAGCCCACCTACTTGGGGGCTAACAAAGGTGAGCAGTGTAAGCTTTTGAGTTAACTCGTCCATGACAGACGCAATTCGATGAACGTCCGAGCTCATCGGTTTCGCCGACGCCATTTTTCCGCATTATTCTCAAGCAAGTTAAGGACAAGCAGGCCTTTCCCTCCCCGTGTTTATTGTGGATGAAGCGAGCAGGACGACACCTCCTGTTTTACAGTCTTTGTTCAGTCTATTTCAGTCGTCTCATGCCAGTTTGTCCTGCCGAACATCTTGAGAGAAGGGACATTTAACGAAAATCGTACCCCAATCTGACTGCGTAACGACGGCGTCACGGTTCGCAATTGGATCTGTGAGGGCGTGGAATGCACAACAAAATACCACTACAATAAGCTAGAATGGAAAAATCCTGCACTTTAGAATGCCAAAAGCAAAAAATTAACCAAGAAGAGTATATTCGTGCCGAGGACGGTGACTGCGGACCAAAGTCATACATGCTAAGACACGCCACATGCTTCGCAGGAATGGTGCGATAAAAAGGCTCCACAGACGGCGAGAAGGTTTTAAAGAGGTTTCCTTCGACACAAATAAAGCATTTTTGCCCTAGCTGTAGCAATGGTATTTCGCTTGCCACCGGATGAGTCTGCTGTGGACACTAGCCCGACGGCTAAGACTCAGTGCGAAGTGCGAAAATCCCTAGCTGTACTAAAAGTCCACGAACAAACATCTGCCTTTCTTTGATTATTGTTCTCTGACCGTATTCTATGGAAGTTACCAGGACTTCTGGCGCTATTCGGCCGACTGCTGTATTGGGGTCACTGGCGTTTATCCTGCGCTTCCCGGTTAAATCCGCGACTGCCCGAAGTATCCTCTTCACCGGTCGTTACCACCTGTAAAAAAAATTACTTCACTCCCGAATTCCCAACTTCAAGAGCATCCGCTACCTTGAGTTGCTCTTCAGGTGACAGTGAGGCCAGCATGCAGCGCTGCCCCAGCCGTGGGAGTTCTATGCCTTGAAGGAATGTTATGACGCACGCTGTTTCTAACTGAATGCAAATGGTCAAAAAAAGAGGTCAAAGGTATCTTTGTGGGCTTGCAAGGTTTATGCGTACGCCAAAATTGGCAGCTAACTCCGTGGTGAAACGGAATTTTCCCGAAATGTTTGATGGAGACGCGGGGGTTGGCTTCTGGCTCTGAGATGGCCATTGAAGCAAAAGTTTATCTTCCAAAGCAAAGCGTACAGCCTTAAGGCTAAGGCTTTTCCCAGTGTAATCATGGACAGAGCTTCCGTCGAGTCGAAGATCAACACCCTGCGGCTATAGGAACTCTGCTTCAACTTTCTAACCTGTCACCGTCTTGCACCCCGTTGTTGCATTCCATAAGTCGCTCCATGCATTTCCACCCCATGCAGGTCCCCTTCCTGACCAGCTATAGCTTAGTCGTATGCGTTGGTGCTAGGTTTTCTTGCGTAATCTTGCGCGGGTCGTGAACAGCAAGCTACTGTCAAATCATTGGTATTTGAGGAAAACGTTTCCTTCAGAAGGCTTTTTAAACCCCAAAATAAACACAAGCTGAAACTACTCCTCGCTGCTGTGCACGAAGTCGCTCCAGATTGGCGTCACGTCCGATCCTGGCCCAAATATCCTCAATTGGTGTGCTAGGCGGCAGGAGATTTGCAGCAGTCCGACAAACGTAACTGAGTCAAAGCTCAACCACTGGGCAATGAACGTTTCGCCGGAACCCGGTGGAATGTTCATCCAGGTTAGCTGTATGGAACCTCAAGAGATCCAGTATCTTGCCTGTCTGTGCTAGTAGTCATTCGCGTTCCACTTCTGCGGCGAAACACTACCATATTCCCGCCCCCAGTCCCGTTTTTGAATGCGCGTTCGAGCTCACTTACAAACAATGGTCAATCGTCTGGAGAGCAAACAAGCTAGATGTAGAAATGCGGTAGTGCTTCGCCGCAGAAGTGGAACGCACATGAGTACTAGCACAGTCAGGCAACTTATGAAACTTTTGTCACCACAACTTAAACTTCAGGCCCGATCTCACTGTGCGTGAGGAAGCTGATGTACCCCTTGAGAAGCTTGGGGCCAATCGCGCTTCTGAACCAAGCAGCTCGAGTGATACCACTCACGCCGCCTCTGCCACCTTTTCAATGATGTGATGCATACATATGAGTTGGAAAAGCCATATTCTCATTGCAACTTCCTTGGGGCTTGTTGTGCATTGCTACCCGTTGAGCGACCTTGCATGTAGGTGCCGGAGCCTCTCGCAAGCCCAGAATAATTCTGCGGGAGTAGATGACAAATCTTGCAAACGTGAAACTACATCTAGCTCTACTGCTCTCCAGAGTATTGGCCATTGTTTGTAAATGGGCTCAAACGCACATTTGTCAAATTGTCATCCTTAGCAGGCAGTGGTAATCTCTTTCTCCACAACTCCACTACGCAGCAACTCATGTAGCACTATTCTTGTCCTAGCATGCACGTTGTTGTACCTTGCTGTCAGGTATCACAGGGAGTGCATTGAACCCAGTGTGCCGTTTACCATCGGTTTTCTAGCTTGAACTATTGATACTGATGTCTTTTCGAACCCCCTGAGGCTTGCTGGCCCAAACTTTAGCTATTCCAGCAGTGCTGCCGCAGTTTCCACATCCTCGTCTGAGAGTCAAGTTGTCAGCATGGCTTCTGTTCTATCAACTCTCCAGATTAGTTTAGGCATTGTCGGAGATATTCTAGTCTCTTTAAACTTTCCCTCAACATTGCTTGTTGTAGCCAGGTAACCCTGTTTTCGCAGAGGATTTGGCTCCAAAGCCAATTTGAGTATGGTATTGTGCTTGCATTGCACGTTGAAGCCAAACTATGTTGTTAAATACACGCTCTGAAGGTTCACTTTGAGGATGGCTCTAAAGATTTGCATGTTGTCTCGTCCCAGGTAGTCTTGTGTACTGCATCAGACTTGCTTCGTTCATTTCATGCGCATTCCCCTGCCGAACTTGGGTTTGCGGTAATAGACACTGGACTTGTGAGGCTCTAGTTGCATATCATGCGAATTACACCTGCTGTCACAATAGCATTGCTGGATGGAAACAGTGGACTACGAAGACTAATATCTCGTTTGATCTGCTCAGTTTGTTCTGCCGTTACATTCGTATAACGTTTTCTGTGAAAAGAGCGAAACGGGAAGCCCAGCGGCATTGGGTGAAGATGAACGAAGCAGTTCTGAGAGTAAGAGATTACCAGGACGCCATTTCTGCATTTTATTCGACATAGCATCCGACGCAAATTTTCAATTACTCAGTCAGGGCGCCAGCTCAACTGAACACAAACACTGGTGAGCAATTTGCGAAAGCCCTTTTCCATGTTACTTTGCCGTTCAGCATTTGGTCGTCACCGCATCGGATTTGTGCTGCGGCCGTCCTATACTACCCACTTAAGGTATTTCACAGGAATACCCAACACTTGCAGATGTTGGATCATACTAAGAGAGTAAGCGCAATCCTCCAATCTATTTGGAGCAGGCCGACACCAGGGCCTGAGCGCTGACGCAGTCAATGGTACTTTGTGTACGAGGGTCTGCCAGAGGTCCATGAATGCATCAGCAGTTTTGTGGTTGCTTGCTGCTGAAAACCAAGAAGGCTTTAACAATTATCTCGTTGATTCTGCAACAATCCGGAGAGCCTAAGCACACTTGCTTTGGGATTGCCTCGCCGCAGGAGTTGGTGCAGAATGTGCTGCAATTCAGGAACGGCGCGACCTCTTCCTGTGGTATTCTTGATGCTTTTTCCGCAACCGGTGAAGGTCCAGCCCATTCCTGCGGTGACCAGCGCCTCTCCCCAAGGAGAGGCGCTGGTCTAACTGCACTCGCTTGTTTATTTCGAAGAAAAAATAATCTAACTTTCTGCTTTTTTTACGGCATTTGTATGCAAACAATGATTTTTCTGCACTTCAGTGAGGCGGTTTTCACACCGCCTAAGCTATTAGGTTGAGCTGAACGTCCCAAGTCTAAACAGGGGAAAAAAGGGCCACACCTGTGCTTGCCTGGTAGGAAGATTTGCCCAGAGTTATGTCGTGAATCTAGAGTCCTAGGAAGTTTATACGCATATGAGTTTGTCTCAAGGGGACCTCAGTGACTTTCGGTGTTAGACCCGTACAGTAGTGGCGCCGATTTTCCTTATTGTTCTGCCGAACTCCTCGACTCTCCTGTACTTGATGGGCTTCGCAAATGATCCCTATGGGGGTCTTCTTGCGCAGGTCCTTGATATCCTATCTCATTATGTCGAGTGCCTCTTAAGAATTCGCCTGAGTGTAGTTACAGCTGGCAGCTTTTGTATACGGGGCTGGCGACTCAAAAGGCGAGGCGGTGGGTGACAGAACTCGGGATAAAGCGGCGAGCTGCCTCACAGGCATCGCTGCAGTGCCCACGCAACAGTAAGAGAAAGGGGTTTTAGACTAGCTTCCTTCCTACGAATGTGGCTCTCATTGCTCTCATTCAACGCGCACTTTGGTTCTGAGCCTCCCGCAAAAAGGTTGTTTTTGGTGCCTCCATCGAGCTACAAAATCTGGCTAGCTTCCGAATAGTATGGAGTGTTCATATGTCTTTCCATTTGACCAATGAACGGCACCAGAAATACAACTGGGTTCCCACAACTTTAGCTCAGGATGTGCATCTTGATTCCGAGCCCCGGAAGAAAAGACTCTATGTACTGGTGCCCCCCTCGAACAACACGCCCAGGAGTTGCAAGCTAGTGCTCCAACTGGGCTTCCAGAACTGACGCACAAACCTTCCAGGCGCATTTTTGGTGGTTTAATGATCCACCAGCACTTGCAGTAAGCAATAATGAGCGATAAGATCGTAGACTCTTATGCGGGTTCATACAACATCCTGGTTACATCAGTCTTCCTCTCTACAGTACGGAACCGGAGGCACTAAACACTCTCAAACAACATTAATTCATTGAGATTTTGAACGGTTTTCGTGTGTGCAGCATTACAGTCTCGAATGACCTGTATACGGATGGGGTGAAGCTCTTTTATATGATGGTGGCGCCCTCTTACGCCCGAAGCTCCGCATAGCCATGCGCCACTACAACGATATCGCATCGGCCCAGACGCTAC